TTTCATGGTGGTTCGATAGGGATTTCATTCATGGACATATCTGTGAGATTATTTTTGATGTTTTTATGGTCCGAAAACTTGGGAAAAGAACAGCCATTTTTGCCTCCAGTGTCTCCAGTGTCGGTGGCAGGGAAATCACCAATAAGCTTTTGTTTTTCCAAAGGGGCGACCTATAAATTTTATCAAAAAACAGGAGAAAATCCCAGGACAGCAAAACAATCATTATATTCTTTCGTTGACAAACAAATCACGCATAAATCTATCAAGCAAAGGTGTAAATATCCAAATAAGTCGGTGGCGCTGGAACTGGAACTATCCATCCCAAGAAATTGGGTAAATTCGCTTCATGATCCAAATGCATAGAGGTTTCCTTAATTGGGGGGACCTCAAAGCATCCAAAATCAGACCACTTTAGTATTGAAGCCCAGGTGACTTGGGGATCCCCCGTTTAAGAAACCTCCATATCACGTTACGGTGATTTTGCCATTGAACAATCCACATTTGAGTGTTCAAAACCCTCGTCCCTATGTAGTGGCTCTTGGTGAAAATCCACAATGTCAAGGGTAGGTTCATACTCTCCGATAAAAACCAACCATTCCTTTATCAATGGTATACCCAGAATCTGATTAAATGGTTCAGAGACCCATATTTCATGGTTGCATAGCATATTTGATGGCTACCCTCTGGAAAACTTCACGTATTGAGAATCAGCATAAACTGAAGAAGTAAATCATAAGATTATCATGATCATCTATAAACGATGCATTTTCCACAACTATGTTATATACCCCCTGGTAAACGTTAACATAAATATGGAAAATAACAATTTTTAATGGCATATTCCACTATTTCGACTGGGCCATTTTCAACAGCTATGTTTGTTTACCAGGCCGGGTAACCCGAAGGTCAATTCCTTTGACTCATCAACCAACAGAGCTGTTGAATGCCACCTGCAGTCGTTGCTTCTCCAACAGCACATCCACTCGGTCATTCGCCTGAACAGAAACTCGCTTGACCCATGGTGGCTGGAGATTTGTTAAATGTTGATGGGGATAGAACCCCTTTCCCTAACCATTTGTTGGTTATCAATAGCTAGGAAATATCACAACAAATCCCATTGAAACCCCTAATGCTCAACACCCCCTAAATGGCCCCTCCAAGGTATAAATTCCCTACTAAACCTTAGCTTATGCAGGGATGTAAAGCAAACAATATGGGTGTGTCCGAAAAGAATAATCAAAATCGGGATTTTTGGAAATTTAATGAGCAGCAACGGAACGGGGATGAAATGGGCTTAGACCACAAATTAGAGCTTCGGTGGGGGTATGTTGGACCAAAAAAATCGGATTACAATTGCGGACGGATTCTTAACACTTCTTAAACGATTATTCGTGATTGGAACCGGTCTTCAATTGATCAATGCCGCATATATTAAAAGGTCCCCATCTTAATGGGCGGTTAACATAAACAAATGGACCCACACATGGTTTCTGACAGCTTGCAGGAAATCTTGCATTCATGAAACCATCGGTTGAGTAGGGATGGCTATAGTCGGGTGGTCCCCATCACCTTGCGTGTCCTCAAGACCACAAGAAACATAGGAATTTACGGATGGCCAGATTTGGAAGATGTCCTGTAGCAACGCTAGGCGCATACCCGGCAGGTTTGCCAAACAACCGCATTTATAGACGGTTCTTGGGAAACGAACCCACTATTTTTCATAGCTACGTGGCTCATTGGCAAAGGGGGGCCCTCTGGTAATGAACCCCATAGTTATGGAAATCAACTTCTTTAAAAGGTAACTCATCGAACTAAGTGGGAAAACCCATAGCAAAATGTTATATAAATGATATAATATGGCAGAGAATCAACCCCTTTGTCTTCTCATTATGGATACATTGATGGTTAATTACGCAAAGGTTTCCCAATGATTTTGGGTCGCCAGCCCCCAGCGCGCCCGCAGGGTCTGCGGCTGCCAGTGGCTAAAGTGCCACTTCAAGGCCGAGCCATCCCAGGCGGCGCCGTCGAAACCCAGGAGGTATGAAGGATCCACCTACCCGGTGTGGCACCATGTGTCAAAACCTGGGAAAATCGTGGGTAAACTGTAACATGGAAGCTGCGGCTTGTCCCGTAAACCCTGCCTCAAAAGCCTGCAGTCAACGGAAATTGCAGGTTCGAAGCGAAACACTGTAGCTTAGTGCTCCCTAAATGTATATAAATGTCAGACAATGCGGGTGCATCCCCGAATTCTTTCGCCCAACCCCTCCGAATTTCGCCGAACCCCTCCGCGGTTCGAGCGAGCTGAGCCTCGTCTGCTGTGGCCGGCAGTGTTGTGAGCTCATTGGGCGGTCGCGTGGTGACCCCCAGCGCTAAGCCCTGCAAGGTGATATCGCACACGCGATAAATGCAGAATAAAACATGAAAACGCATTTTACATCATGTTGTCAAAAGTTTGCTAGTGACAGTGCAAACCCATCTCACAGGGTGAAAAATTATTGAGGCAGCGGCCGCGTTGCGTTCCCAGATTGCCGTCCTTTGAAGTTTGAAGTCTTTGACAGTTGGCCCATGGCTACATGCCACGCAGTGCAAACAGGGCCCATGTAGGGTTCATGCCCATTGCCTGATGTCAGCAACCGAACAGCGAGACTTAGCCCTCCCGTAGCAAGGAAAGCGTCGCTTCTGGGCTTTGCCACTTTGAACTCGGAGTGACAAAATAGCACATCAGGCTTTGTTCACCATATACACACGTTGAGAACATAGTGATAGATGTGATGGTTGAAGTTGGCGCCGTGTCAGCAGGAACATCATGATTGTCTATGCTATTCGTGGATACCCTGCAAAACAATTAATTCATCTTCAGCTGCATGGAAGCTGAAAATCCGGGAGAAACTGCAAATGGCAAGTTTGAAAAGGGATCATGGTGATAAACTGATAAGCAGGTGAATTTAGAGGTATCCGTTGCTAAACCCAAGAGAAAGAATCCGCACTTGATGGCACAAACCATCGCCAAACGGTAGTTGTCTATGGCACTATGGCTTTGGGTTTCCCGCAGCAGCCATCCCCAGTACATCAGCCCTGAATGGCACCGCCCTTTGCTGAGAGGTGGCGCCACATAATTCGCCGAGTTCTTCTATAACTAATGAACTGGTGGCAGATGCATATGATACATCATACCTCCATAGCGGTTTCATGGGGTACACCAACTTATAGTTGGGGGCACCCCTTTTTCGGGAGTTGATTGGATTACCATTGTCAGGTTTCATGAAGAGATTGAAGATTTTCCAGTGCAGCTGCGAGTACTGACTGTGTGGTAAGCCCACGAATAATCAATCCCCAATAGTGCTATAAATGTGTGGGAAACATCATCCCCAAATGGTAGTTGTTTATGGCATTGCGGTTACTACTTTTTCAGCTTCTCCGTGTCTGCAGAAGAGAAGCCCTTGCTCGGCCGGCCAATCCGAATAGCTAATTGGGATGCAAAACTATGACTTCATAGGATTCCTGAGTAGATTGAGCCTCTGAAAAACACGGACTCAAAATATCTTTGGAAACCAAGTGAAAGACTTTTGTAGATAATTCCATACATGGAATATCCATGATTTCTGTTGGGTGAAATGCAAATCTGCGAATTTTCTGTCGCACTTGTATTCCATATTCCATCCCCAGTACTTGAATGTGCACGACCCAGTGCGGGCAATAATCATAATATAACACACTTAGACGAACGGGTTATACAGTTATACATGGGTTGTGTACTTGGGTTGTGTACTTGGATGTACATCCCACTTAGGATCCGTCGTTCTAAAATCATAAATGGAGGTTTCCTAGCATGGAGGTACCCCTACATCATCCATCTTAATAAGAGTTCCCCTTATAAGCCACCCAGCTATTGGGGATCCCCTATTTATGGAACCACCTTTTCGCTGGGGGATAGGGTTATGGCTTGATCATGGTCACCATGGGTCACCTTCACCCAGACAGCTGGCAAAAGATAGGGATCTTTTCCGTGAGATGTGATATTCCTCCATTTAATACTCCCCAAAGGCCATCCCGGCCATATGTATATGATTGTATATGTATAAATAAAGATGTATACGTACATACAATCAGATTAATCATATATATATATATATCAATATAGCTATAGCTATAGTATCCCAGCCGGCCAGCCCCACATCGTCCATTATCCGGGGTGACCGTAAAGACGGTGGATTTTTTGATTTCCCACATCTTGAAGCGTTGTTGCTCCTTTTAACATTTCCAATCAGCCAGATACCTGGCAAAAAATAACGTCTTTTGCTGGTTAGTTAGTGGATATTCCCATTAATACCACAAGACTAGTTAGGATTAGTTTGTATCAATGTAAGATTGGCCTAGTTAAATGGGCTTCAAGGCGATCCTGTTTTCAGATGCTTTCAGCATGTCTGGTTGGTGGTTGAGCCCTACGCCTCTGAAAAATGATGGAGTTCGTCAATGGGAAGGATGACATCCCATATAAATATATGAACTGGAAAATAACACATGTTTGAAACCACCAACCAGATGTAAAAATCTTGGGATGCCCAGTGTGCACCGACATTATGCATACAGTGATCGTCATCTAAATGGACCCTTGACATACCGCACTTGAAAGACTGGAAACTCCCTGGTTTCGATTTACGGCGCTTCGGTGGCAATTTACGCCGTTTTGGTGGCTACGCCGTTTAGTTCCAAATCCAGCAGGGAGCCCCTGAATCATCCTTCCTTTCCAAGTATTTCCAATGCTTTCACATATATTTTGCTTTGGACAGCTTTCTAACCTTACTTCAAAAGTACATGTTCTGTTGATTTCGGCTGTTTTTGATTGGAGAGCCAAATGCCAAAGTACACAAAAACAAGAAGTGAGTGATGCGTGCTGAGCTGCTAGAGCACTTGAAATGTCATGTTCTGGATTCTTTTCAATGTGGCAAAAAATGAGGTTCTTTGATGCTTCGCAGCATTTATGAACCACACATTTTTCAAAGCGTCGCAACAATGGGCACATCAAAAGTCTAGCTTTTTGGCTGAAGAGAAAGGAAGGACTTTGGATTGGCCGGTCTTTGGCTGTGGATGCTGGTCAAAATTTAAGAGCCAGGGGACCACAGATTTTAGTCTACCATGTGGTTATGACTAACAGTTTGCCATGGAAAATCACAATCTTTAATAGGTAAACCGTGTATAAATGGGTCATTTCCCATGGCTATGTTAAAAAACCAGAGGGTATTTTTAGTCTTAACCATCTCTTTCTTGAGGTACCTGGTACTGGTTGGTGGTTGAGCCCTACCCCTCTGAAAAAAAAATCTCGCGTGTTCGTCAGTTGGGATGTTATTCCATTCCCAGTACCCTCTGGTAAACTAACATAAGTATGGAAAATCACCATATTTCTTGGAAACTCCACTATAAATCGCCATTTTCAATAGCTAAATGTTAAATTACCAGAGAATATGGGGGTATTGATTACCAACAATCTGATTTAGGTTTGACCAGAATTTGGGATGTTATTCCATTCCCAATACCCTCTGGTATACGAACATAACTATGGAAAATCAACATATTTAATTGGAAACTCCACTATAAATCACCATTTTCAATAGCTAAATGTTAAATTACCAGAGAACATGGGGATATTGATTACCAACAATCTGATTTAGGTTTGACCAGAAATTGGGATTTTATTCCATTCCCAATACCCTCTGGTAAACTAACATAACTATGGAAAATCACCATATTTAATTGGAAACCCCACTATAAATCACCATTTTCAATAGCTAAATGTTAAATTACCAGAGAACATGGGGATATTGATTACCAACAATCTGATTTAGGTTAGACCAGAAATTGGGATGTTATTCCATTCCCAATACCCTCTGGTAAACTAACACAACTATGGAAAATCAACATATTTAATTGGAAACTCCACTATAAATCACCATTTGCAATAGCTAAATGTTAAATTACCAGAGAACATGGGGATATTGATTACCAACAATCTGATTTGGGTTTGACCAGAAATTGGGATGTTATTCCATTCCCAATATCTGGAAAGTCATGATCCATTCCAAAGCACCAAGCAGCAATAAATCCGGGCGTCACTGATCCCAAAAATGGCCTCGGTATCTCCGGGTGCCACTGGACTGGTGACGATGAAGCTGAAGCCCACGGCGAAGTCCTGGAGGTGCATGGAGTCTCTTACGGATCCGATTCTTGATAGATTGGCATTTTAGGAGATTTTAATGGTTTTGAATGGGGTTTTATTGGTTTTTAATAGGCTTTTAATATAATTCAAAAGGATTTTAATGATTTTAAGGCATTTTGATGGGATTCTAATGGGATTTATTGGATTTTAACGGACATCCAGATGGATTTCAGCGGATTTTGATGGATTTTTGAAAATTTTCATGGTGGTTCGCCACTGATTAGATTTATCGTTTCTAAACCAAAAAAACCAAATACGACTTGGGTGTGGTTAAGTCTGTTCAATGGGTAATATATATATATTGTAATAACATAAATAAATATACCATCTGGTTATGACTAACATAGCCATGGAAAATCATTTTTAATAGGTAAACCATCTATTTCTATGGGCCATCTATACCATGGCGAACTGTTAGTCATAACCAGAGGGTAATTACGCGTAGCAATCTGCATGATGTAAAGTGATCATCTTCGCAAAATGCTGGGCTTACCGACCAAGCAAAGGTCACCAGGGAATTGCTGCCAATCACCATGGGAATTGCTAGCAACTGGTATTGCAGATGGCTAATCTGTTAGTAACTGTTAGTACGTGTTGCCAAAATCGGTAGCGGTTGTAAACTTGGTGGTGTTGAATTATCAAATGCTGGGTGTCAGCTCCGCTCTCCTATCCAAACGCTTGCAATGGATGGGATGTTCACAACCAGAAAATAGATGTCACCAAACAAACGATTGTTTTTTTACTAGCAAAAAATGTGATGACAATCTGCTTGGTAGTAATTGAACTTGGGGATATAGCCAGAAATCCTTGGATTTGTTGAGGTCAAAAACTACGCGAGAAGACATCGCATCGCATCTTTTAATTCTAAGGATGGGATCTCTGATAATCTCTGATATATGGTTTCAAGGTTAACCGATCACCATAGGTTCGGTTGTTCTCTTAACCAGTGGGTGTATGGGCAAAATCATTTTCCATAACAAAGGAATCCGCTGGAACCTGTTTGGAATCTGCAGTCTTGGTCAACATTGGGCCGTCCATGCCGGCACACTTGGACGGAGAGAAAATGAAAATCTTCGCCAGCGGATGCAACAGCGTTTTCCGCTCAATTGTCGGACAAATCCCTATCCTTTCCCAAGACAGTCCAAATGGTCACAAAACATGGAAATCTTGACCCAACAGGTGCCGAAAGCTCGCAGAGGCGGCACGCCATCTCTGATGTCTATGAATTTTTGCAGGGCAATGGCTGCGCATTCCCAGTCAGTTTCGGCTCGAAGTGGAGCTTCCTTGGCGCTGCCGCCCAGTGAAGCTCTATCGAAGCGGGGCGAGGGGCGGCCAGGTGATGAAAATGATGCGGCAAGCCTCCAGGTGGAGTTTGATGGTCTAAATTCACTACATCTTTGTTGCTGAAAGCAGCATTTCTATGCATTTCTCATGATTACATCCCTGTCCCATTGATTTACTCAGATATCACGTTGGTGGCCATATATCCCATAAAGTATCGATATCATATTTTATGATACCTTCCTTTTTTTGTGGCTTAAATTCTCATCGGCCAGAAAATATTATATTCACCCAAAAGCCCGAGCACCAGTATCCTTCATCGTAATTTCACCATATTTTGCTGATTGAATGTTTAAAACAACAAAACAAATCCAATTTTGGATGACTCAACCATCTTAAACCACCATTTTTCATACTTCAATCCCCATCTTCATCCATTTTCTCCGGAAAAACCACCAGTGGAACGTCCGGCACCTCCCGGGGCGGCAACGGCGCGTCGCCGAAGACGAGGCCACCCTCCAAGGCGCTCTGCGTGTAGGTGGCGCGCTGTGCGGAGGCGCCGTTCTCGGAGAGGAGGATCTGGCTGCCCACCTGGCAGATGCTGTTTTTCTATTTGGTGTGTGTATATATGTGTATATATATATATGTATATATATATTTCCCTAATGTTCCATAGTTATACCACTAGGGTTATAGTTCTTCTATGACTATGGCCATACAAGGTGCCCCAGCTATAAGTTTGTTGGTTTAAAAACCATAGTATATGATATATCTAGCAACCATACTTAAAAACCATCACCCGAATATTAAACGCCCCAATTGCATGGTCCCGAAAAAAATGAAGGTGTGGAGGGTGGACCGGTTTCATCAATGGTGGATGTTTCACTCAGAAAACTGGAGGTTCCAAGCAAAATGGGCATTGAAGTAGCAAAATCTGGACTGGTTGGTGGTATACCTACCCCTCTGAAAAATATATCCCTACCCCTATAGAGGGGGAGGGCGGGGGGGGGGACAAAACCAAGCTGTCGAATTACTTTTTTTTTGCTTGGAAACCCTGGGATAGTGATCCAACCCCTCAAATGGAATTGTAATGTAACATTTCTCAACAAGCCTTGGGCACTGGTTAGAAAATACTTGCGCTTAGCTCCTCCGGAGCTAAGCGCAAGTATGATGACGGCGGTGCAATTTTTGGAAGGATGCCATCCCTAGGTATGTGCTGCTTCAGTCTGACATGTGCTTAGCTCCTCCGGAGCTAAGCGCAAGTATTTAATTTTCATATGCTTGCCAATGACATGGAATGATGAGGAATATTGATCATTGAGAAAGCATGATTGCAAAAATAGAATTTTAAAATGAAATTTCAGGACGACCCCCCCCTTCAAATTCCATTTTTAAGAGGGTAGGGAGAAAAAAAATTAGTCAAATGGGATTATTATTCCCAATATATGGGAAAAATGTTTCGGACCACCAAACCAACAAAAATGGTGGGTAAATGGGGTAATGAATGAGAATGGTGGCTTCATGTGAGTTTCATCATATTTTAGCAAGTTTTAGTGGATCCACGGCTCAATCTTTTACCAGATGAATGTTCCATTGGGTTTTAAGGCAATTTCATCATGGAAGTGACCAGCAAATGGTACAATCCAATGGTTTTTGGTCAGTTTCCAGTGGATTTTGCCAAACAATGGTGAGCCAACTGACCGATGAAGGAGGGCAGGTGGTGATTTTGGATCATCCTGCATGGGATAAAATAATTGTCAGCACCAACCAGATCAGGAACAAATCAAAACAACAATATTTAAACAATATTGTTAGCATTCTTAATAAAGATGTGGTTCAACAACTATTATTTAGTGAAATGACAACACCATCTTCATCATTACCATTGTCAACACCAATAATTGTCACCTTTGAACAAATAAACCATATTTTTTTTTGGAAAAGGGATTAAAATGTGGATGAAACTGGAGATTGGAGGAGTGTAGGCCAATGAGAATATGATTGCCTAGCAGCTTACCCTTTTGCATAAATCCATCTTCGCCTAGTTGCTACAGCAAACCTGGTAGGATTCCTTCTGAAATAAACACTTTACTCGGGCACTTCTGGTTCCCGAACTTTTGCTTCTACTCACATCCTGAATCCTGTTGATTTTGTCTCCAATAATTTTCTTGGCAATTCCCAATCTCTATCAAGAACAAAAACCAACTGTACTTGGTTGAATTCTCATTATCAATACTCTTACAAAAAACGCCATACTTGTTAGTTAACTTCCGATAAGTCTTGATTATTCTCTACCCGTTCATTCACATTCGTTTCCGGAAGGCCGCTTAATTCTCATTCAAGCCATATTCAAGATGAATGTTCACCCTAGGATCTTACAACTTTCACCAAAAACATGAATCCCCACCATCTGTAAAAGATAATCCTGGTTGGTGGATTCAACCCCTCTGAAAAATATTAGTCAATTGGGTTATTATTCCTAATATATGGAAAAAATGTTCCAAACCACCAACCAGTAATCCAACCCTTCTTCCGACTTCCCAGCCACACCTTTTCTCGATGGAAGGATGCCATGGTCTTGTCCGGTTCGGGCGGTGCTGGAGGCGTCCAAAGCTCCTGGGGAGCGAAGATGGAAAACTGGCCCTTGCAGCTGAAGTCGGCCACCTTTTGTCATTGGGTTTAAGGCAAGCTTCACAGGAACCGCCATATGGAGGTTTCCTACAATGGGGGGTATCACCAAGTCATCCCAAGATATCCCAAGACCATTTGAGTCTTGAAACGCATGGTGACTTGAGGATCCCCCAGGGTTTCCAAAAAAAAGGCCCTTAAAACCAACCCAGTGATCTAGCCTTTCCTTTTTTCAATCTGACACCTTTCCATCGAGCAGAGCTTGCAGGAAAAATGCCGTCGGAACCGTTACGAAGCGTCTTTTGGGCCTTGAATAGCACCGTTGGATACCAGTATATGCAACCCCGGATCAAGAAACTTTGATTAAACGGGGGGGTACTACCAAATAGAAAACGCTTTTTAAAATGAATCCTGGCTTAATATCAAATCGATTCCCAATTACTGATACTTAAATCCTCATCCTACATGGTTGGATCGCTATTTTTCCATGGTCCCTGTGTTTAGCACTTCATTTTGTGAATTGGGGACGGGTACCGATACTCAACTTGGGGTTGGAATCCTAGAAAAGCCAACTACTTACCCTCCGGTAATCATGGCAAGGGAAAGTTCGATGACTTTCTTAGCGAACTAAACCTCCATGGCTAGGCCACTGGGATTCCCCAGCGGCCCACCACATTCGAGGACACCAAGCCGGGTCATCTGTACCCTCATCTGGGATTTTCCCATTAATACCTCCATTTATAGAAGATTTTCCTTTATTTTCCCATGATTGTCCTATATTTCTTGGGATTACCAGAGGGTACCCTCATCGTTTCTCTGCCTCGGAGAGCTCGGGCGTGGTGCACTTTGGCAGCAGAGAAAGACGCTTCACGGTGCCCAAGAGATCCACCATGGGATACAGCGATGACTGGACGGCGCGATAGCGGGGCTGCTGCCCGGTGGAGCTACTGTGGAAGTTGGATGGTTTCGCACGAAGAATAGTAGTAGCAATTGTAAGAAATAATAATAATGACAGTGGTAAAACAATGACGCTAAGAGTAGTAACGAACATAAAACCACTAGTAGTAGCGGTACCAGTATTAGTGCTACCCTCTGATAAACGTTTACATAACTATGGAAAATCACCATGCTATTAATGGGTAAATCAACTATTTCGACTGGGCCATTTTTCAGGTCTCAACCCGTTAGTTTACCAGAGGCTAGTCATATCCTACTGGTAATGTTGATAGCATGAAGACAGGATGAGACTCCTAGTGTCCCAAATATCTCGTTGGAGCGAAAGCAAAACGCTCGCATGGCAACTTTGGAATGGCGTGAGGATTGGATGGCTTGGGACAAATCAAGACGCTATCTTTATGTATCTTTATGTATCTTTTGCTTAGTAGGGAATTTTCGGGCATGATCCACTGGCTAACTAGCAATAATCCCGGCAAGCCCCAGCCACCCATCCATTCCCTACGTTTAGCACCAGTAAGTTTATGTATCTTTAACCATTTTGAGTATCATAAATCAAATTGGCCAGGTGCGATTCATGCAGTGCACCAGATCCTGCGGTCAATCACTGTCGGAATCCCCAAGCGCAGTTGAAGTAGGTATGATCCCTCCAGCCAGTGATTGATGTGGCTCTGCAGGAGCTGGGGTCGGAAGGAGACTTGGTGCAGATGGACTGGCAACTCCCCGGTGATCTCAGATTGAGCTCATAGGCAGCATACATTGCCCGGAGCTCCAAGGGGCCCTGAAAGCCAAGCGGATCCAAGCGGGAAGCCCATCACGTCCAAAATTGTCCCTATGGTATCGGAGACATACCGCGCCTGCAATGGCGAGAGGACAGTCGCCTGCAGAGCATGCACCACCAACTGTATGAAGATCATGCGAGGGTGCAATCTCGACTGATCCTTGGCTTGGTACCACCAATTCTGCCAACGATTTATGGACCCCTCATCGGACCGTTGCACTCTCAGGCAGCACTTTCGGCACTTCTGAAAGCATTTCATAGGATTTCGAGATCGGGCGCCCACAGGCAAGGAAACTGCCAGACTCATCTGCCAGAACATGAAAAACCCTGAAGAAAAGTAAGTCTTGTTTACAGTTCGGCATTGGGCGGCAAGGCATCACAATCGAGATCCCCATACCAGTCCCCAACTGTGTCATCAACAGCCTGTTCCACGGCAACATGCTCAATGTCGTCCTCGTCAGCGCTGTCCTCTGAACTGCTATCTCCCCTAAGTTCCGTTCAACTGAGGGACCCTTGTTTTACGTCTCCACCGCGCCCCAGCGTATTTCAGGGAGCCCACCCGGAAGGCATTTTAATTAGCAATTTGAATTAGATGCACACACACACATAAACACGCGCACACATGTCGTATGTATATATATATATATATATGTAGACAAACAGATATATTGTAAAATACAATAGGTGTTTGATGCATATACAGCATGTAGAGTACATTCCATATTGCATTGCACGATGTCGCATATTTTATACATGGTAAATTGAATGTTGAATAATGCATCTTTGTATGAAAAATGTGCACAAATATTGTACATTATGCTGCATATTGTTGTTGTTGTTGTTGTTTTTGTCGTTGCTGTTGCTGTTTCTGCTGCTGCTGCTGCTGGTGGTGGTGGTGGTGGTGTTGGTGTTGGTGTTGGTGTTGTTGTTGCTGTTGTTGTTGCTGTTGTTGTTGTCGTTGTCTAATTGTCATAAATGTTGAAACAGTCAATGATATTACTCCTGTTGAATATCATTCACCATGTGTTTGTTGCAAATTATATGTTGTATGCTATTGTTATCTTCTTGTTATTTAACATAGCTACGAGCTATGGAAACCGTGGCTGATCTAGCTCGATGAATTATGGTCATTTACCTACCTATCAAATGCGGATTTTCTAGTTCTTGCTACATTAAATAAACAGAGGGTATTATTATTAACCACTGTCAACTATTATCCATTCACCATTTTGCTACTAATCCTGTCATTATTCCATATATATTTTCACATATAAAATGTCTACTATAAATGATATGCTGGTTGGTGGTATACCTACCCCTCTGAAAAATATGAGTTTGTCAGTTGGGGTTACTATTCCAATATATGGAAAGTCATACAATTCATGTTCCAAACCACCAACCAGTAGTTGATAATGGGATATAACATGTCTACTATAAATGGGATTTTCACATATTTTCAACTATTATTGTTTCACCATTATCCTACTGATTCACCATTTCCCTATAAATGATATGTGTATTCTTGTTACCATCTGGTTATTTAACGTAGCTATGGGAAATCACAATGTTTAATCAAAAATCCTCTATAAATGGGCCATTTTCCATAGCTACGTCAAATAACCAAAGGGTATATGCTGAACAAAATTGCTGTGCGCATTCAGTCGCACCTGTGTTGTGATCGTGGGGCCCTTGGCCATCTGCCGACCATTCACGAAAATGCGCAGGGTACCCTGCTGGTCCACCATGGCACCTGGCTGCGACACAGGGAAACAAGGGTTTAGCCATAGGAAACAGGGATTGAACGACCAACAATGGATACAGTATATAAATCCCAGGGATACAACCCCCCAACCATAGTTATCAAAGTTGAAAACTAGTTGAATAGGTTCACTCGGGTGCTTTTTTTTCTACTCATCAACTCCTGTCAGGTGACCCCCCTGAATAGGACCGTTTGGGTTTAAGGTCGCATCTTTCCCACAGATCCATTTTCTCAATGGATTGGTTTCAGGGAAAATCTTAATCGGAAACCATGGTTAGGGCTTTCCGGTTTCAATCTTCACATCATCCAATTCTATGAGAATCGATTCACCGTGACCTCCATGGATCATCGTTGGGCTTGGACATCATGTCAATCAGCTTCACTGGTTGGTGGTGCAATGTGCCCATCTTGAAAATGATGGACTTCGTCAATGGGAAGGATGACATCCCATATATCCATATATTAATTACGGAACATAATCCAAATGTTTGAAACCACCCAGCAGTTCATCATGTGGGAATTTCATCAACAACACGTTGTTCCTTGGTGTCTTCCAATCTGAGAACATACTTTCTCGTGGGGATGGCTCTTGTGTCGAGCTGTGACTTGGGCATTGAACATAGCATTTGAAATAATGTGCCCTCTGGTAAACTAACAGTTTGCTATTGAAAATTGCCATTTATAGTTGATTTACACATATATATATATTTTTAAAGTTATGTTAGTTTACCAGAGGGTGGGAAACCCATATGCAAGCCCAATAATGCACCATGCCCAAAATCACCACTTTGATTGGTTGTATGAACCAACCCTAAATGGTAGGTTTTTGGCATTTGGGTTTACCACATTAGTGCCTTCCTCCCCAACATCTTCCGGAACCTGAAGCTACGATCATCACCCAGTTTCCAGCAATCATTGGGAGTGTCAAGTTTCAATCTCTCTATGGTGCTGATAACTTAGGATACCGACTTTTGTTGCTTATCATGAACTTGCTGGCCAATCAAAGCATTCTGTATGGCAAGTTCTTTCCAACATTTTTTTGAACGCCTAAAAATTCTTCCAAAAAATCTTTTACACTTCCCTCTCTGAATGGTTTGCTTCCCCTCCCGGTTTCAGTCACACTTCCATCATGAAGTCATCCAAGCCATCCCTTCCTCCCACCTACAGCATCACCCACACGTAGCTGTCGCGTGTCCCAGCTGCTCAGAAGCCATTCCTGGTGATGCAGTGATCATCCAGGAAGTCTGTGATATGGGACCAGCAATGGGAGATTAATAACTGATTCATGGGATAACCACATTTTATGAGATTTCATGATTAGCAGGATTGAATGGGATGTTCATGGTTCTTGATTAACGTTAACATCCCGCCAACTAATTGTTTGAGCTTGAGAACTGCACTCTTGTAAAGAGGAAATAGTCTTCCAACCCCCATCAATGGAAGGGTCTATGTTCATTGGAGGGATGGTGGGATATATCATCAGAAGGATTGAATAGAACAAGTGGAGAAGTTAATCAGTAGTTTACGTGAAACGCTGAAAATGGGGGCTATGATCAAGCAATCATAGGATTTTTGACCATCTATGGGGGATAATACTTCACCAACCTGAAATGCTGAGGCATTCGAGACGGTTATCCCCATTCGATTCTGCAGGGTTTTCGAACTTACCCACATAGCGAGGGATTTTTCAGAAATAAATAGGATTAAAGACGGGGATTGCCCCCAAAACAGGCAAAGGACTTTGTTGTACCTTTTCGATGTGGCTTGAATGGGTTCGGAGAAGGTTTTGCTGGACGTCTTGTTCGTTCGGGAATTGCAAGGAAACTCTGGCGCCCAGGCCACTGTAGGGGCTAAGTGGAGGCGTGGAGAGTACCCTCTGGTAAACATACAAAAAACTATGGAAAATCACAATTTTTAACGGGAAAACTCACTATTTCTATGCCCATTTTCCATAGCGAACTGTTAAATTACCAGGCCGGGTAGCTGGCTAACCGCCTAAAAATGCACCAGCTGGTCCCATGCCTGTTGGTTTAATCCCATCCCATCCTTTTTCATCAAGGTGCTTGCTGCTGATTGTCTGCCATAGACCCAATATGATCCAATACTAAACCATGGCTTCTAGGGGGGTATTCAATACCACGGGGAAGGGTTTACTTGCATACGCCTCTAACCAACAAGATTGGATGTTTTTTTATTTTAAATGTTAACATCATGTCAAAATAGAAAAACAACTGCCGAGCCAGCCGGTGTACCCAAATATCATCTCGCTAGCAAACAAATGCACACAACACATCACATGTATATAATCATGTATATAGCATCACACTCTAGCATTTTTGTTGCTTAAAATCCATTGAATCGGCCAACAAGTTGGGGATATTTTTCACTTTTGGTTGGTGAGGCCAGGAATTTTTCATGCTGAAAATTCCCTCGTCCAAGGCTTAGCCTTAGCCTTGCTTTTTTGTTGTTTAAACAATAAATTTCCCAACTTGTCGTTGGTTAAAGCCTTATTTTTGAGGGGTTAAACCAATGAAAACAGCCAGGTTTTTTGATGATTTCTGGGAAAAAACATAGCAATGGATAATCCCAGCCATGATAGATTTTCATATCCCCATTAATTATATATATATATATGGATTTTCATATCCCCATTAGATTTAATCATATACCATCAATGGATAATCCAAATGATTTTCCAGCCAGAAATCTCTTAGTGGGGTTTCCTAGCCATGCGAAAAGTAGGGAATTTTCGGGGATCCACTGGCTAACTGCTAGTGAGGCATCACTCAAGAGCTGCGTGAGCTTCGACCCATCACTACTTGCGTCCGGCCACAGTCGCCGCACAATCTCATACAAGCGGACTGAGGGGAGATAGCCGCCATCTTGGTTCGAGCTCTAAGTCCCAGGGGTTGGCGAAGTAGTTTTTTTCCGGTTCTTGGAGGCAGCTCTGCCTTTGGAGAGGCCACCTGGGGTTTGTCGATGATCGCCCACATAGACCGCCAATATAGCCTGCTTAATGGCAACAAGAGAGGCGACTTCATGATATTCTCCAAATTGCTGACTTTCGTCCATAAAGGCCACGTTTAGCACCAGTAAGTCGTTTAAGTGGCTTATAGTCCAGGAATACAAGCCATAAATAGTTCATCCCATCTCATCCAGGGGATATTCCAGAAATCTAACTAGGGGTATATATATCGTTTATATTGGTATATGGAATATCCCAATTGGGGATATGTTCACATATCAATATTTCATAGTTTTCATTATATTGATATATGAAAAAATATTGGTAAATGGATCATAGCTATGGCTGCATCTTTACTAACCGTTCAAAGGGCCAAGTCGTTTTGTTCGTTTTGTTCCAAGGCTCCATCTTGGCGCCATCCCAGATGGCCCCATCAAAGCCCACCAGCCATGCCGGCCGCAAGGCATCCGAGGACACCGGGGGTTCCAAGATCTCATCCGGCCTGGAATGGAGAAATAATGAGGGGAATGGGATAACCATATATTTCAATTATATATATATGTACATAAATGTGTATATATATATATTATACATTCATATACTCCATAACCATAGTAAAACCCAGCTATATATATAATTATATATATTTATATTATGGCTTAGATTATTTTGTGATGCTGCAGAAGATGAAAGTCCGTATCTATCTTCTATCTACTCCTAAAGGGTTTAGTCAATGGGATATTAATACGAATAAATATATTATCTGTGTCCACTTGTGTGGGGGTGAGCGAAGCTAAGCCACTTACTAATTGGGATGAATCAGCAAGTTTAATCAATATCTGGTTGGTGGTTGAGCCTACCCCTCTGAAAAATATGTGTTCGTCAGTTGGGGTTATGAAATTCCCAATATGATGGGAAAAATAAAATTCCATGGTTCCAAACAACCAGCCAGTAGTAGTATGATCTATGATCATGGGAATAGTTGGGGTTTCTGGTGGTGGTTGGACTTACCGGTGGTTCATCCCGCGTATCCCCCCAGTTGTATGGTAAAAAAAAGAGCCGTGGGGCACCACTCGTACACGTGGGTTCACCAAGAATTGGTGAAAGAATGGGTATAATCCACGGTACTTGGGAATGTAGTTGGGATAAGTGGATATATAACCATAGCTATAGGGGTTAAGTTATATCCCAACTTATAGTTGCAACCATGGTTATACTCATTTCTAACCCCAACTGACCCCACTCTTGTAATTCGAATAATTGGGGTTATAACCCATCCTAATGGTGATATCTTATGGATTTACGTCGAAGAACGGGGATCGAAACAAACATATTTTATGGGTGTACTGGTACCTCTTTACGTCGAATGGGCCGATTTCCATGGGATGTCAACCAGGAGATCGGCCCCAACTGGTCGACCTCAGGGTAGCCTCGTCAGAGGTGGAAAATCCCCATCAAAAATGGAGGTTTGTTTGGAAAATCATCGAACTTAATCTGGTTGGTGGTATACCTACCCCTCTGAAAAATATGAGTTCGCCAGTTGGGATTATTATTCCCAATATATGGAAAAACAAGTTCCAAACCACCAGCCAGTAATGGATCTATGGGGGATTTGCAATTGCAACGTCTGCCACGTTTTTTTTCCCCCCCTGTTAGGGCACTGTTTGGGCATTTCAACATCTGAAATCCAGCATGCTTGACAAAGCCTTCATCCAACAATGCCTGCCTATTTGGGTGGACAAATCACATCCCACGCGCTGCCAAGGCGGTCTATATCTTTTAAGCCACTGTAAAGTCCTCGAAAAAATCAAAGTCTCCTTCTATGTACCCTCTGGTAATTTAACATAGCTATAGAACATGAGCATCTTTAATGGGTAAATCAACTATAAATGACAATTTTCAATAGCTATGTTAGTTTACCAAAGGGTACATTCCTCCACAGAAAAAACGCCAGTATCTGGATTCATCCACAAGCTGCACTAACGGACATCAGCTCTGGCTCAGCGCTAAACAGGTGTATCTCATCTTTCTTGAACACCCACCCCACAGCGTTCTTGACCACATCAGGTGTAATCAGGTTTAAAGGACATTACAAGCTTACAATTGATCTGCCAGTCTTCTCTACATCTACTTGGATGTGCATACCAAAATAGGTATATGGTTCATCACCAATGTTAATCTATGCTAATCTCCCTATCTTTACATGGAATAAACCTGAGTTGCAAAGGATATAAATATGTGTATATATATATATATAGAGCTAGCAAGGGTTGCATATATACACTAGTATTGAGTGTAGAGGTAATATCCGATCAAATGGTGTAGATCATCCTTAGATAGTAACGGGAACAATTAGTTGGGGTCATGCGGTTTATCCCATTACCACTGAATGGTCATTACCATTGATGAATAATCTATATTCTTTGATAGAGCTTTAATGGTAATCACCATCATCAGCTAAATCTAATTTCATTGCCATTGACGGTAAATTATCAACGGAAATGACATAAATGGTCATTAAATTGCCTTAGTGGTGAATTATCAATCTGGGTAAATTATAATATTTCACTAACCTGAATTGTTCGGCCATTTTGGGATGATTCCTCTTACTAACTATGATTATAGTGAGGGAGAACAGTGAGGTCGTTATAATTTACCCAGATCAATGGTAACCACAAGGGAAAAAAAGGGAGGCATTCACCACTTACGATTCCCGGGCCTGTGACTCGTGACGCCAATGGCCATTCCATCTGGTCTGTCTGGAATGACCTGGCGTAAAGAGTTACCCCCGTGCTTTAAATAACGTCACCCCAAAATGGTGTTTACTAGCCAAAATATGGGATAAAATGTGTTTATAAATGATTATATATATATATACATAAACATTATAAACATTATATATATATATGTATGTGTATGTATAGGTATATGTATATGTAAATGTATATGTATATGTATTTGACTAGGTGCACGGCTTGCATTTCGCCGTGAGTCAAAATGACGATTTGATAACAAGGCCTCCCGTCAGCAAGTCAAAGTCAGGCTGAGAGGCAACGACCGCAAGATTGTCAACAAAGCTAAGGGATCGCACCTGTGGGGCAAATGCTTGCATGTAGCAATGCCATGCCAGGTTGAGTTGCACCACCGCGTAAACACTAAGTGCATCCCCTTCCGCAAGGCCACATGTAGAAGTGGTACTTTCACTCAGGGCACCCTGGAGTTCAAAGGATCTGGTGCAGGTAGTCAAAAAAGCATTCCAAGGCACCAAAACATGTGAGGAGACCCCAAGGTGTGCAGCCAACTCAAAGGTGTGTTGCCGAGGGATGTTGTTGAACGCCCTGATGAGGTCAGTGGAGAAACCACAGAACGGGTGATCGCCCTGCAGGGCACATTCAACTTCAGCTTGGAGGAGAGTCCAAAGTTGAGAAGGCTCACATGCTGGAAGTACTCCATAGGCCTCAGAGCCCATATAGGGAGCAATGCGGCGAAGCAGTTGTCGTGCTCGTGCTGAAATCATCGCAATTCCATTGGGATTTCTGTCTCGTCTTCGTTGAATATCCGCAAAAACTCTGTTTTTTCTCTTCTGCAAAATGCGGGTAAACTAGTGCGGTCTTCACCAAATTTGGCGAACTGCCGCATAAAAATCTTTGCGGTCAAGTGGGCCAAATTCTTACGCCAAGCCCACGCCTGGACTTGGTGTGAAAAAGGGACAGAGGGACTTTGTGTGTGGATCTTTCATCAACTTCTTTTTGGGCAGGTAGTGAGTGCTTCAGGGCCTCCCAAGTCCGATCCACACACTTAGTGCTCGCCAGCGTCGACAGTTTTTTTTTTCCGATGCTGCACGGGCAGCGGACTGGTGAACTCTTTAATCTGGTGAACAACCTCTTGATTTCGAATGTTGTTCTTGGCACAGAGACTGCGCCAGGCATCTTCCAAGTTACTTCGACATGTGTTGTCTAGATGGAATCAAGGATGTTGTCGTCAGGACGTTAATACACCCCCCCACCCCACCCCAGCGTAACCCCTCGAATGGTGAAAAAATGCATATTTTACCACGGCGAATGTGGCACTGTGGTCCAACTACTAACCACCTTGATATGTCAGTCAAGTGGGTGTGTCTGTTTTTTTTGGACGTGTTCGTCCAACGCAAAAAAAAGGGGTTGATGACCACAAGTCGCGCGATGGAGAACATTGGGAAAACATGAGAAAAGCTGTTTGGCACCAACAACCAGTTGGTAGGAGTATCACCTGTTCCCACTCATGTGTAAAATTCCATCGTGGAAGCCTGGTAGCAACCCAGCCACTCCAGCATCCCAAGGCCACCAAAATAGGTATGGCTAGGAGGGCTCGTTGGGGTCACTGGATTTGCAGTTACAGAAACTACCCTCTGGTAAACTAACAAAAAGCTATTGAACATGGCAATTTATAGTGGAATTACCCATTGAAAATGGTGATTTTCCATAGTTATGTTAGTTTACCAGAGGGTATCTAATACCTAACCCGTCCAAGCAGTGTCTATCTTTGGAAACGCACAACCTGTGGATGTTCATAAGCTTGGGCCGTTGTTCAAACAATCCAAATCTTCTTTGCTAAACTGACCAATGTTTGGGAAGCTACCTAGCAAAATCAGGGCGAGACTTCCAGAAAACGAACCAAATTCATCCAAACTTTATCTGGTTGGTGGTTGACCTACCCCTCTGAAAAATATGAGTTCGTCAATGGGAGGGAAGGATTATCCCATATATTGTGGAAAATAAAAAATGTTTGAAACCACCACTTTGTCACCACTTTGTCGAACGCGTTACCAGAGAGATCGCTGGCAACCCGGTGTTCAGGAGTTCAGCCTACACTGAAGAAATCCAAACCCTTACACGAAGACCTGAGGGATTGAACGTACCAATGTGAAACATCTTTTCATCAAAGTGGGCAGGAGGCCCAGGGTTTGATGCTTCCCCAATTCGCAGAAGCCCAGCAGACATCAAAATGAAAAACCTCCATGGTCTGAACTTCACAGCCGACTGCCTGGGTTGACACACGGTCATCTGCAAAAACATGTAAAAGGCGATTGCACAAACTGTGGGGATCAGGGCTCCCATGAAACAACCTAATGTGAGCAGGCAAACCAAAATGCACACACTTCCTTGTCTAGGAAAGCCTTCCCCATGCCGTCATTCCGTACTGGACTCATCACGGGGGCGCTTCGACTGAAGGCCTCGGATCTGCACCATTTGGTGTTCCATCAGTGCCTGCATATTCTGACAGTGCCCATCGATTTGACCTTGCAACTGTTGGCTCTGCTGGGTCAATTCGCATTGCATCGTTGCGAACTGCTGAGCATTCTGATTTGACAAATCCTGCACGTTCTGATCCAAAGCCTTGTGCTGTCCCATCAGCTGCTGAACCTGATTCTCCAGGGTGGACAAACGTTCTGGCATGTCATCCTGTTCCATCTGGGTCATAGCCGGCAATTTCTGAAGGACTTCATTCTGGATCCTATCAGCAAGTTGCTGAATCCCATCACCGGCACTTGGGATGCATGAGGCAGACTTGCCCTGGGTATACTGTTTCCAAGGATCTTGTGCAATCCACGGGTCATCACCAGCCTTCAGCTGAGAATCCTTGCCGCACAAGGAGATCGTGCTGGCCGCACCGACCGTGTGAACCCTCGCACTTTTGGACTGCAAGCTCTGCGACCTGTGTCGTGAAATCACCACTTCACCATGTGTCGTTGTCAGTATGGACAGGGGAATCTTCAATTGTCTGAAGCAGCCAATCATGTTCCAGTGCCAAAATCGGAGTTGGATATTGCTGCTGATATCGAACATTCATCAGGCTAAATCGCTCATGAGAACCATCCAGTAATCCATGCAGTTTGAACGTCACCTTGTCATACAGAGCTTCCATAATGTGAGCTTCATGACATGGGTCAAAGCAACACAATTTCGAAACCAGGGAGACCTTCTCACCTACAGCATGATCAGCGAACGTCATGGGGAATGAAGCCATGGCAAAACCCTGTAAAGATACCTGCCCAAGATCGGTGGTGGACGGCCCCAGCTGCTGGTAGCATTGGGCAATCGCGGCTGTTTGAAACCACCAACCAGTCATCAACATCTGAGTCTTTGGGGTGTTCCAAACAAGTTTGATTCAACCTCTCTGCCCATCTGGCCTCATCAATGTGCACCTGGTGCGATCAACCATTGCAAAAGCGCAGCTGGAGGGAGTTGCACAAGGGTACCCAGAAGACGAAAACACTGGATTAAGATTGATCACCAAACGCCAAGTAACCAAGTAACACATGCTTTTTCTATGGGTTAACTCCCATGAAAGTTAAGAACCTCAAAAAGTCCCCAAGATGAGTGAAGGACACTAAATGATTCTGGCCACCTTATTTTTTGGTTCCCATCTTTGTTTCCGCTCAAACATCGATCAAGACTTGCCGGTTCACAAACCTAAGGCGCAGTTTTCAAGAACTAATCTATTCCCCCGATATGCAACACCCCTCAGAAATCATGGTGGAGGGGATCTCAATATATGGAGGTTCCTTAAAATGGGGGTACCCCTAGTTATCATCCATTTATAGATGGATGTTCCATGAAATAAACCATTCATTTATGGTTTCCATTTACGGAAACCCCATGAACACCCCCATATGTTTGGGAGCATTTCTGGGGTGTTTCATTTTTGGGGATGAGAGGTCATCCTGTGAGTCAAAACCCGACCCGGATGGTACCCTAAAATGGTGGATGTTGAACCATATATTGAACCATCCATGAACCATATAGGGAATTGATGTTCAATATATCAATATACTTGAAAACCATATATTGTTCATTTAATTTGGCCATGTTGAACCATATATTGAACCATCCACATATTTGAAAGAGCCATCCACATACTTAGGTCCCAAAAATACATGATGTAATACTAGCTTTTGACCCATCCACATATTTGAAACCGCCTAAAGCATCGGAGCTTGCAAACATCGTAGAAGAATGATATAGCCATCTGATAATTGATCTAACCCGGCACTGAGAAGTCCAATTCTTCCATTAGAAACTCAAATCTCAATGGATATAAGGAATATTTTCCATTTCCAGGTCCTAGATTCTTGCTAGAACATGCTAGAACCAATTTTTAACCTCCACTCTGAAGTGACATCCCAAGTCTGAACGCCAAAATTTTCACAAGATGTTCACTCGTTGCCAGAATTCCTAAGATATTCTCTGGTTGGGGGTTGACCCACCCCTCTGAAAAATATTAGTCAATGGGAAGGATTATCCCATATATTATGGAAAATAATCCAAATGTTTGAAACCACCAACCAGTTCTAAGTTGAACTCATTTCAATCCCCACATTTTCAATGGTCAAATCGCCGCCTCAAAGTAGCGTAAACCTGCGTCTGTGAAGTCCAATGGTGCGGCACCCAGGGCAGTACCTGCGGGGATTAAAAAGTGGATCCCAAGACAAGTTTGGGGAACCAAGAAGATTTGGGGATTCAAGCAAAAATAGAGATTTACTTGGAATTTAACCATCCAAAATAGTGATTTAATGGCATTTAACCATCCGAAACCATGATTCTAATGATTCTATGTGATTTAACCATCAATAAAAATCGGCGTTTAAAATGGTTTCACCATCCAACTTTGGGATTTAGCCATGAAAAATATGGGTTTTGACGCTGACAAACAGGGATGTAGCATTCGAAAGTCGTGATTTTATCATCGAATTGGGGATGTAAATCATCAAATGAAGAACGAAGACGGATTTAACTTACAAAAATAGTTTCTTTTTGAAGCTGGGACTCAATAACACTAATTGGAATATTCACCTCTAGTAATCTAACCAAATGGATACCACATAAACCAAACATTGGTGATCTAGCCCAACCGAAGCACTGGATCCGCTGCATGATACAAGGGTTGCAGCAACATCGTTTTAGATCAAAAAAAACTCAATGACTTGGCTATCTTGGCTTAAGGGCCCCAGTAGCTCCCACTTTTGAATGCTGGATTCTTTTCGGTTCAGTCCAGGTTGATGGTGGAATCTTCCTTTTAACGGATGAAATCCGTATTTTTTCATGTCCAGTCCGCATCTCAAGTCGGTGAAATACACTTGCTCCCAACATCCCAGACGCACTGGGGAAAATGGGGAAGTGAAATGACGAAGTTTCCACCCATTGTTGGTGGCTATCATTTACCTATCGTGGGGTGGAACAAGCCTGCTTTTTGTTACTCAAACTCCCCATGATGAGTAGACTCCCTATCTTGGTCTCCCAATTATGTTTCTTGTAAACCATGCAAGTCTTGTCTCGATTTTTGTTGCTCAATCCCGAAAACCATCACTGGTTGGTGGTATACCTACCCCTCTGAAAAATATGAGTCACTTGAGATTATGACATTCCCAACTGACTGGAAAGTCATTTTTTCCATTCATATTCCAAACCACCAACCAGCCATTAATATTCCATTACCAGAGGGTTAATCACCATTAAATCACCATTGATATCCCTATTAAACCACCAACTAGATCACCTTGGTCATTATTAACCATTACTAACCCTTATTATAACCTTTATTAACAGATATTGGGATTAATAATCACCATCACCATTCGGAGCGTCTCCACAGGGCACCTTGCAGATCTTCCTTCCCCATGTGCTCCACCGTCCATTCGCCCACCAACCGCAACTGGCGCCCCAAGGATTGACGATGGAAGCCTCGTCCCGGTTTCCTGGCGATGAATGCCACGTTGGAAATCTACTGCTTGGGAAAATGGCCATGAAAAATGGTGATTTACCCATTGAAAATGGTGATTTACCCATTGAAAATGGTGATTTGCCCATTGAAAATGGTGATCTACCCATTGAAAATGGTGATTTTCCATCGTTTTTTGTATGTTTACCAGAGGGTAATATAACCATAGCTATAGAGTTGCAGAGGTTATATAATCTGGTTGGTGGTTGAGCCATCCCTCTGAGAAATGATGGAGTTCGTCAGTTGGGAATATGACCTTCCCAATATATGGAAAAATAATCCAAATGTTCCAAACCACCAACCAAGTATATAGTGTATGACAGATTTACACAAAGTTTTTCGTATGATGTATCTACAGCATGTTTTAGCAATGTAATGATAAATCTATGGTAATGGGGATATAATACAAAGAAATGGTATAGTCTTGTATAGAAGTTTTCTTTCTACTATCCTTTATTTCACATGGTTGGGAAGCTCTTAGTCTTAATATAGTAGCTCCGAACCGTAACCCATTTCATAGGGAATATGGATTTTTAATAGCTCCAAAGATTCCAAACGTTGAAGAATCTGATGAAACTGGAACAATTTACCGCTATAGATTGTGTTTTTTCTATATATGTTTTGACACTGGGATGCGCCAAGGCTCTGGTTGGCACTGGCACGGGTGGCCAAAGGACATCTCGCCTGCCGCGTTGGATGACACGGCAACTTGGTTGATAGATTTCCTGGGTTATAATTGAGCAATCATAATCAACCAAGTAGTATTGGGTATTGGTTGATCAAGGAACTAATACCTTGATTGGCTAAGCCACTACTCCGCAAGAACGGCAGTATAATGCCCCAGAACCAATCAACCAAGGTATTTTTCATTCATTTGGGAGGGAAAACATGAAAACATGATTGCGGTAAAAAGGGCTACTGTATGACTAGTGATTGAGATGATTGGATTCGGAAATCACAAGAAAGGCCCGGATCTGGATCATCTCATCACCAAATCAGATCAGGCCAGGTCATTTTGCGGATGATTTCCCATCTTTAAACCATCACGTAGTGGGGTATTCCTGGTACCCATAGGTACCCCCATTTTTTGGGAACGCAGTTGAATCCTTCACCCGATTTTTAGCCCATCCAAACCCATCCAACCCATCCCTGCCTGCGGCAGCAGCGAAACCGCCTCGGTGTTTCCGATCAAGTCCAAGGCCAGGTAGAGGGGCCGACCTCAGGAGATTTCAGCAGCGAACTCGACCAGGGCAGTTTTTGGGTGGAGAAATCACGAAGCCCGCCGTTCAGGCCCAAAAATGGGTGGCAAATAGGGTCAAAAGGATCAGGATCTTAGGTTTTCGGATTCTGAAAGCATAAAGATCTGACATTTCAATGGATTTCAGGCTTATTCCCTAGCAAGAAAAAGTGGTTCGCAGCTATCACTGTTTCTTGAATTCTCGAACTGACCTCAGCTCGGAAAAATCCCGACTCAGTTGCAGTGCAGTTCCAGTTAGAGGTGGAAATAGAACTGTCATGTTATCATGGTCGGATCCTAACTCTCAGGGCTTTAAATTCACATGGTTATACCCAATAGAACCTCTGGCCTGCCCAAAGTCACAGCAATATCAATTATTGAACCACGTGTGACTTGACCCGACTCGACAGTGGGTGATAATCTCCCTGAGAATTGTGGTTTTAAATTGTTTTGATGGGAACATAATCTATAAAGGGGGATATTTTCGATTGCCACTGCTGGTAAATGGGGTAAATATCACCAAAATTTCTAGTTCATAAGCCACTAGTGTTGTCACTAACCATCCTAGATTTCACAAAAATGATTTCATAGGAGTTTGATGAACAGAACATATTTGATGGTGAAACGCCTGTAATCCCAAATTTCTTCGTGGTTTCATCCCCCCTGTTGGGAAGGGATGGGAATCTTGAGATCGAGGTCAAAGTGCATCCCATAAATTGGGTGGCTTGTAACCAACATATAATTAGGATATACACATTATGTATGTATGTATAAATAAATTAAAAATAAATAAATAAATACATGAATAAATAAATAAATATAAAAACAAATAAATAAATATATAAATAAATAAATATATATATATATATATGCATGGAGACTCCTCGACCTTCTTCTGCGCCGACCCGCCAAGCGCAGGGCCGCAGGGCCCTCCTCTTATCCGTGGTCAAGGCCAAGACAGACAGCACGCCAAGGCCGCTGCCGCCTTCTTTTGAGGATGGTGGCCCTCGTCAACCTCGACCTCCCGACCAGCTCGCTCCATGTTCAACAGGATCCCGATAGCTGGGTCGCGCACTTCCCCAATCGCTGGTTTGTAATCCCATTGGGTGGCTTATAACCAACATCTAGCTGGATGTTTTATAATGTTTATAAACAGAGTTCAAATGGATAACTGGGGGTAGCCCTATATTTTGATGGTTATAAGCCCTATCAAATCGATGGTAAAGTCCCCCATCCGGAGCCATCCGGAAACCTCCATAGAGCAAACCCCGGTTCCGCTGCACGGTTCGGTCCAAGGCTCTGGTGTCCACGTTCTTGGGACCGTCCAGGCGCCATTTGCCGTTCAAGAAGATCTGTAGTTGACCCTCAACCGTCACCAAGCAGCCCACGCAATCGCCTGCAAGGTGTCGAGAAATGGCCATTTCAGGATCCTAGATTGGAGGTACCTACCATATATAAGGCCTATGTGAGGCCTATGTAAGGGAATATCCCCACGAAATATGGCCTTATATGGTACAGTACCTCCATTTTAGGTTCCTGGAATTCCCATTGAGTCGAGAAATGGCCAAAAATCACCGGGAAACATCGGGAATTCACCGGCGAAAAGAAGGATTTTTCACTGATTTTAACAGGGGAAGATCGTGATTTAACCAACATGGTGATTTAATCAGAATGGAGATTTCATTCGGATACATTTTTCCATGATGAATTCCTTGTTCTTGGTCAGCTCCTGATTTTTCATTACCCTCTGGTAAACTAACATAACTATGGAAAATCACCATTTTTAATGGGTAAATCAACAATTTCTGTGGCAATTTTCCAGTTCGCTTTTTGTATGTTTACCAAGCCGGGTAAGGCCTTCATTTTTTCAGGGCAGAAATTCGAAAATCAGTGAAATCCTCGCCGGCTCCACGGCCTATGCGCAGCTCGGAGGGGTACCAATCGACCTCACTGAAGTCGTGGGCATCGTACATGATGCCATCGAAGCCGACCAACCACGCCTAGCGGGCCATAGCCGAGGCGACCGTTGATGATTGTTGATGGGTGAAGTTCATGGAGATTTCACCATGATATAACTGGTACCCTCTGGTTATTTAACATAGCCATGGTATAGATGGCCCATTTATAGATGGTTTACCTACTAAAAATGGGGATTTTCCAAGGCTATTTTAGTCATAACCAGAGTGTAAATGATGGTTGATTGGCTTTTCTGCTCTGCAAACATACCGTTTAAACCATTGGAAATGGCCCAGTCGAAATAGATAGAAATAGTTGATTTACTCAGCTATAAACTGGTGATTTTCCAGTTCGTTTGTTGTATGTTTACCAGAGGTTTCAACCAACTGGAAATCTGGGAATATCATATGATATAACTGGTAAATGGTGGTTGATTGGTTATGATATAGGAAGTTATACTACTGGAAATAATCGGCGATTATGAACTAAAACATGGGATTATCGGATTATCACTCCAATTCTAGATTAGCGGTTTCAACATCAGTGTTTCACTGTATCACCTTATCTTTCTTCTCGCTCTTGTTGAACTATATGGTTTCAAATCGCTTAAAAAAATCTGCGGTGTAGCTTGATGCCGATTTTCTCGTGATTCCTGGCAGCTTCATCTTTCCATACACTTGGTTGGTTCACCCAGTTATACCGTCATACCGTCGGGTCATTGAAGATAGCCATGGAACATGCCCAATTTATACTGGTTGGTGGTTGAGCCCTACCCCTCTGAAAAATATGAGTTCGTCAGTTGGGAGTATTCTTCTCAATATATGGGAAAAAATGTTCCAAACCACCAGCCAGTATCGATGTTTTACCAATTAAACATTGTGATTTCCATAGCGGTGTTAAATTCCCAGTAGATGGGATAACCCTACAAATCGGGGACGGCTAGGCCCTCTAGGCAGCAATGGATCTGTTGATGAATCGGGGTCCAAAGCGGTGATATTTAAAAGGATCGGGGATGGGGTTACGTAGTATTCAGATGGATCCATTCATGAACATTGAACACATGGGACCAATTTCAATAGGGACCGCAGTGAAAATGTTCAACCTTATTTGGGCGTAGTTTACCTCAACATAGGGTGAACCCCCGAATCCCATGGTTGATCAGTTTTTTTTGTGGTATCACCTATTTCCAGACACACATACTTCAAATTTCCCTGGATTCTTAGGATTCTTCCAAGAGCTAAAATCTGAAATCTGAACACCGAAGAATTTTTTGGACGCAGAAAGTCAGCTTCTTCACCCTCGAGCCAAGCTATAAAATCAATGGGAATTCCAGGATCCTAAAATGGAGGTACTGTACCGTATAAGGCCATATTTTGTGGGGATATTCCCTTACATAGGCCTTATACATGGCAGGTACCTCCATTTTAGGTTCCTGAAATTCCCATTGATGCGGGTCCCGCTCCACCCAACCTAACCCACCGATAGTTGGCAAATCGCTTTTCCGTGTATTCCCCACAATTGCAACCCCAATATACCCAGGCTGGTATTATTCCCGAACTAATGAACCAATCATCATTTATCAGTGATATCCATATATATATATGTGTGTATATATATATATAACCATTAAAATAATATATATATATATATCATCATCATTATATATATAAATATCATCTTATATGATATCCCCATATGTTGATACTTAAAATCACCACATCAGTCAACAGGGCTATCTTGCATTTATCGCCATCCCGCACCGGCCTTGCCCAAGCCATCTAAGATCTCAGGCACTCGCTTCAAAGTGGAAGGTTCCACACTGGTCACGCCAATCGCCAAACCATCCGGCATGCCTCGGAAACCAACAACACATGGAGATTTGTTTCCCTTTTTTAACCGGTTTTAATCAATGAAATAGGATTTCATCAATTTTCACCAAAAGACAATGGGTGGTTCAACCAACAAAAATCATGTTTTTTTTAGGAAACAAACGGGGAATTCAACGAGCAAGCTGCGATGCCGGAAGTTTCGAACATATATGTCCGCTATCAACATCACCTAACTACAGAAAACGTGATGGTAGTTAAGTCCCCACAACGAAGATATACAAGGACTGAGGGTGAACATTTTCTGGCTTTTTGATCTTCATGGTTTTTCTTACCCAAATACGACATTGGCTTCTTGTTGGGATCAGAGAAAGCTACACGTCTGGCTTTGGTCGGCAAACTGAACAGTTTATGTATTTAGAATAAGAAATCGATCGGCTGCTCAGTTGCAGTCGTAGCCTCTGGTTATTTAACATGGTCTTGGACAATTGCCCATTTAGTTCGATGATAAAAATGGATGCTTTAGCTATAAACTATTATTAAATGGTGATTTTCCAGTTCGCTCTATTAAATAGTGGGTATAGTTTTGAAATACTTTGAATCTTTTTGGATGCCGCATTTTGACCCATATGCCAGGAGCTGTGTCTTTTTAACGGTAATGCCAGAAGATATTTTGGCTATCAACATCTATCAACCCTTGCAAAATCGATACCCGCGAATTCGAGCTGTTTCCAAACTGGGTGAAAGAATCGAAACCCAATTTTTGGACTCTTTTTCGCGTGAGTACTACGAGTAGGAAACCATCCCCACTTGCCCACACTCTGTGGCCAGCGATGATATGCGCCAACGACGTGAGAGCCCGCTCGTGGCAGAAAATCACAATAATTCACTATAAACTCAATGACACAGACCCGTAGACAAGAGTGTGAAGACCTACTGGCAAGGTCACTCGTTCAAGGCTTTGATCGAACCCCAAGCCAAAAATCAAGCTTTGCAGACTGCTTGGCAAGGTCACTCGTTCAAGACTTTGGTTGAAATCTTCACCAAAAGTCAGACTTTGCAGACTGCTGGGCAAGGTTACCCCTTCCAGACCTTGGTTGAACACCCTACCGAAAGTCAAGCTTTGCAGACTGCTTGGCAAGGTCACTCGTTCAAGACTTTGGTTGAAATCTTCACCAAAAGTCAGACTTTGCAGACTGCTGGGCAAGGTTACCCCTTCCAGACCTTGGTTGAACACCCTACCGAAAGTCAAGCTTTGCAGACTGCTTGGCAAGGTCACTCGTTCAAGACTTTGGTTGAAATCTTCACCAAAAGTCAGACTTTGCAGGCTGCTGGGCAAGGTTACCCCTTCCAGACTTTGGTTGAACACCCTACCGAAAGTCAAGCTTTGCAGACTGATTGGCAAGGTCACTCGCTCAAGACTTTGGTTGAAATTCCTACTGAGAGTTAAGCTTTGCAAGTTGTGCGGAAAGGTCACTTGTTCAAGGCTTTCGTTGAAGTCTGAACCCAGACTTAAGCTTTGCAAGCTGCTCGGGAAGGGCACTCCATCAAGGCTTTGGTTAAAATCTCTTCCGAAAGTCAAGCTTTGCAAGTTGCTCGGCAAGGTCACTCGTTCAAGACTTTGATTAAATTCCCTGACCAAAGTCAAGCTTTGCAAGGTGTTCGGCAAGGTCACTCGTTCAAGGGTTTGAGGAAACCTCCCGCAAGTCAAGCTCTGCAGACGGCTTGGCAAGGTCACTGGTTCAAGGCTTTGCTCGAACCCCGAGCCAAAAATCAAGCTGTGCAGACTGCTTGGCAAGGTCACTCGTTCAAGACTTTGGTTGAAATCTTCACCAAAAATCAAGCTTTGCAGACTGCTTGGCAAGGTCACTCGTTCAAGACTTTGGTTGAAATCTTCACCAAAAGTCAGACTTTGCAGACTGCTGGGCAAGGTTACCCCTTCCAGACCTTGGTTGAACACCCTACCGAAAGTCAAGCTTTGCAGACTGCTTGGCAAGGTCACTCGTTCAAGACTTTGGTTGAAATCTTCACCAAAAGTCAGACTTTGCAGGCTGCTGGGCAAGGTTACCCCTTCCAGACTTTGGTTGAACATCCTACCGAAAGTCAAGCTTTGCAGACTGATTGGCAAGGTCACTCGCTCAAGACTTTGGTTGAAATTCCTACTGAGAGTTAAGCTTTGCAAGTTGTGCGGAAAGGTCACTTGTTCAAGGCTTTCGTTGAAGTCTGAACCCAGACTTAAGCTTTGCAAGCTGCTCGGGAAGGGCACTCCATCAAGGCTTTGGTTAAAATCTCTTCCGAAAGTCAAGCTTTGCAAGTTGCTCGGCAAGTTCACACGATCAAGACTCTGGTTGAACTTCCAATCAAAAGCCAAGCTTTGCAAGTTGTTTGGAAAGACCACTTGATCAAGCTTTTCGTTGAAATGCATACTGAAAACCAAGATTTCCAGGCTTTCAGGGAGGCTATCCGGAGATGGAATAGAGGTGCACCGTCTTATCCGTGTCACCCCCTCCAACGCAAACTTTTTCTCAGAGACTTGGAATCCTTGGAGGTATTTCCAAGCTACGTATAGGTCTGTTGGAACATAAGTGCAGGATAGTCTTGCAGTCTTCCCTTCAATGCCTTGCTCTTGCAATGTTTGATGGAGAATCAGCGGTGAAGCTAGGTGGTAGAGGACCAGCTATGCCCCTTTCTTGGTCGGAAGTTGTTCGGAGGCTATCTTGCGCACTTCCAGGCCCAGAGTGGAAGGACTGAGGCTCAGGCTACATCCCTCACCATTGAGGCAGAGCACATGGAGATCGATCAAGTCAACCAGATCGGAAGCGCGGACTGCTGACGACCCCACGTAGCCATCAAAAGTCATGGCAAATCTGAATTTTTATTCAGATACCCTGCCTTTCAAACGGAAGGATGTGGAAAAAAACATGCTGTTCTCCCATAGAAACATGAGGCCATGTCATGACTCATGACCCTCCAACCCAATCACAACTGGTGAACATTTCCAGAAACCAAACCAGCATTTCACTGGAGCAGTGTTCGGCAGTGAGATTCGGATGCTGTAGATTTCTCCCTCGAACCAATGGTGAACTCGAAACCACCTGGTCCCAAATCAGCAACCATTGGTTGATTGACCCAAAACAAACAGCAACTCTGTCTGGCTAATAGAAATAACCCGTGTGCGTTCCGTAACAAATCACTCACCCAGTAAAAAAACCCATGTGTTCTATCCTCGTTCCGTAAAAGTATGCGCAAAACCCCCTGTTCGCCCACACAACTTCTTAGGGATTTTGAGGGAATATAAATTCCGACCCCCGTTAAACTTTACATTCAATCGGGAAGATCAGCAAGGGTATTAGGAATATAAATTCCCAACCCCGTTAAACTTTACATTCAATTGGGAAGATCAACATGGGTATTAGGAATATAAATTCCCACCCCTGTGAAACTTTACATTCAATTGGGAAGATCAACATGGGGATTAGGAATATAAATTCCCCATCCCCCTTAAACTTTACATTCAATTGGGAAGATCAAGAAGTGTATGAGGAATATAAATTCCCACCCCGGTTAAACTTTACATTCAATTGGGAAGATCAACATGGGGATTAGGAATATAAATTCCCACCCCGTTAAACTTTACATTCAATTGGGAAGATCAACAAGGGGATTAGGAATATAAATTCCCACCCCCGTTGAACTTTACATTCAATCGGGAAGATCAACAAGGGTATTAGGAATATAAATTCTCACCACCGTTAAACTTTACTTGATGATAATGATGATGATGATGATGATGTTGATGGTGTTGTTGTTGTTGTTGTTGTTGTTGTTCTTGTTGTTCTTCTTGTTGTTGTTCTTGTTGTTGTTGTTGTTCTTCTTGTTGTTGTTGTTGTTGTTGTTGTTGTTGTTGTTGTTGTTGTTGTTGTTGTTGTTGTTGTTGTTGTTGTTGTAACATTCAACGCACAGGTAGCTAAGCTGTGCGTTGCAAGATGAAAGCCATGATCATGGACATGTGCATTTTGTCCCACAAAACACAGTGTTTTTTGATGTTCCGACATGTCGTTGGCGTCGGCGCGGGCAAACTGAGGGGTTTGACCGTAAAACTACTCTCCGGTCATCAGCTTCATGGATTGCTGGGCAACGGGGATTTTCCACGTTTGATTTCTCTCCACGTATCCCGTCATGGAATTTCTGTGGATGGTTACATTAATGTAATCCCAGTGGATTTCCAGTGGAATAGGATTAAACATATAGTAGGGATATATATATATAGTGGATTTAACATATGGTAGGGATTAGATACTTACATTAATAGGATTTTCCACTATAAACCATCCAGCTCCCATTTGTGGAAACCTCCATATCCCATTATTATACCATATGGATAAAACACTATCACCTATAGGTTCCCCAGTCAGAGTCATGGTGGATTTCCCATTGGAAACACAAAAAATCGCCCACTAGACGAATTATATAATATCTGGGTAAATTAAACTATTTCACTAGCCTGAATTGTTCGGCCATTTGGGGATGATTTCCCTTATTAACCATGATTCCAGGCTTCGGGAGAACAGTGAGGTCGTGATCAAATTTACCCAGATCATATGAATATCCCAGGTGTAACTGTAGCGAGCTGTTCATCTGGTCTTCGTTGGTGGCGACATGTAACGACTCATGCAGGTTGCAAACTTTCAGGTTTTACTCCCCCAGAAAAGCAGCGCCACCAATGATGTTAGTCCAAAAATAGGCTAGCCCATTCCATCCAATGGTTGATATCACCTATATACAAACATTACATCCTCATTACAAGCGCTTCTCTACAAATCAGGAACCCTTACCCTCTGGTTATTTAACATAGCCATGGAAAATGTTCCATTTATAGATGGTTTACCTAGTTTACCTATTAAAAATGGTGATTTTCCATGGCTATGTTAAATAACTAGATGGTAAACTTGATGGTTTAAACCATCACTTTCCCTATGAAAAACAGGCAATCTTCAGGTTTTAGTATTCCGTAAAAATTATTGACGATCAAAATGGCTCTTTCCTCTATTGCGTTTTTATTTTAATCTCCACTTTTCAGATCGACCTGTTTCTACTTGGGGGAGCAGTTCCAGTTATAATTGGATATGTGACCATAGTTAGGGCCCCATATCCCAACTTAGGGAGTAATTACCATGGTTATATTTATTCTATTACCCCCTGGCAATTAACATACCTGTGGAAAATCACCATTTCCAACAGGTAAACATCTACAAATGGGGCATTTACCATATATCATATATCAAATTACTGAAGGGTATATGAGGTCCCCAAAAACGATCAGAAACGTGTTTCCAGGATATTATAGACTATGTTTCCCTCCTAATTCAAAGGTTTCTAACTTGTCTATCTATTCTTGGGCTGCTCAGAATCCTCCCTAGAAGATCGAACTATATATATAATTTATACCATTCGATAATCAAACATGGCAATGGCCAATTCACCATCTACAAGTACTTTGATAAACATTTCCCAGCAAAACCGCCCATTTTTAGACTAGTTTTCCAACCAGCCGGGGGAACCGCACCTGTGACGGCCTCCTCGATTTTGACTTCGAAATAAGACACCCCCATGGAGTCCTGGAACTGAACATGGCAAGTGATGAACATTTGGGATGAAAAATCACCATTCGCGTTGCGAATTCCCGAGATACGCAGCAGCAAACACATGTTTTTTTTAAATGACTTTAGCTTGCTTTATATATGCGTAGTGGGTAATTTATGGTCAATACAGGATGAATCCAGCTAAAAAGATCAGTTGTGAATGTGGCAGTGTCTTTCTCCGACCACATATTTACAGACAGGATCATGGATGGTGGTGTTTAATATTAGGGGATGAGAATAGATAAGCAAGTTGACCACGATGTGAACTGTTGTTGGGTTAATGATTTATATCGATTTACAACTATAGTCTACCTGTTGGTTTTATCGTACACACACACACATCTATATTTAGAGGTGTTTTGAAACAAGCTTATGACTGCGGAGGGCCTTTGGTGTTGGAGGCTCATCATATTCTGATATGATATCAGTTGATATCAAGTGAAACCAATCCTTGATGAAAACACAACTACTCATTTGAGTCTCCAAGCATGACAAGCATGGCTGCGAGCTTGAGGTGTATCAAGACCTCAGTTTATAGCCATTTGAGCCATCAAAAAAACGATGTTTTCCCCTCCCATGAAATTCGTTGCGAAATTGGAATCCCATTGATTATGGGTTATGATCGTCCTGAACAAAGCCTTTAGCATAACCCCCTTAACCAAGAAACGCATGTATCATGGTATGGTCAAACCACGAGATCCCTTCGGACTCTTCGGTGATCGGGACCCTTCCACAACATTAATAGATATTTTTTCACCCCAAAGGGGCATTACCATGTATAGCCATGTAGAACCTGACCATATTAAACCCATGTTTCTGGGGTATGTCCAATTGGGATGAAAAAATCCATTAGAACATTGGCCTTTACCGTGGTAATCAAACATGGCTAGCTGGAAAATCCTCTGTAAATACGCGGAGGTTTTCATGGGAGAATGATCGAACTGAATGGCCCGCCCCTGAAATAGAACTTCAATGGGTGCTTCTGAAAATGGGATATACCCACCTGGTTGGTGGTTTCAACCCCTCTGAAAAAATATGCTCGTCAGTTGGGATGATGAAATTCCCAATATATGGCAACACAAAACATATTCCAAACCACCAACCAGTAAATGATCATTTTGATAGAGAAAAAGCGGTTCTTAAGCAGTGCATGGAAAACTGGGTACCCTTTTTGTTAGGACATTTGGGTTGATTTATTTTTCGATTTAATTTGCTTAAGGACCCTCCCCAAAAAGATAGTCATATTTGGTTTATAGGGATTCCCCGTTTTTGGATTATTGGAATCCCCAATATACAAAGGGTAGTAATCCCCGAACTAATCATCCAACAATCTATCCGTTATCAACTACATCGCTAAAAAATTGATGGTTAAAACTAAACTCACGCTCTGGAAATTTAACATATCCATGGAAAATGGCCATTTATAGTTGATTTACCCATTAACATAGTGATTTTCCATACTTATGTTAGTTTACCAGAGGGTACTTTGATCATCATCAACCAACCAGGCTTTTGAACACTGCTCATATTCCCTATAGACTCCCTAGTTGGTGGGATGTCCCGAAAAGGTTCACCATCGGCCGTCCATTTTTTTGAGGCTTGCCCTCTGGTGTCATCAAACGTGGCTGGAAAATCACCGAACTAAATGAAGGTTTATAAATGGGAATTTCATCTATATATATATATGTGTATATATATACATATATGTGTTATATGAGTTTGCAAATTTCAACTGTAACGTCTTGACTACCCGATGGTAATCATTTTGAGTCAAAGACAAATATAACCAAACACTTTTTGTAATGTACAAAACTCGGGCAAACCAATCCGAACCCTTGAAACGTGGAAAACCTTCTTCTTTGAACCTTGTTTTGAACACTCCCCAAATGAAAAGCACGTGATCTGATTTTTTGTTGGGTTTACCACGTAAATAACGGGCGAAGAAACAAACATCATTGGGGAGGAACCATTAACCCCAAAATCCCGGCCAAAGCTGGATTAAAAAATGAACCATCTGAAAATCATACTTCCCAAGTTCACATCTAAAAGTTCTATGTCTCCCATGAAAACAACGCTTTTCCTATATTCATTGCCAATCATAGATACCCTGCAAAAAATTAAATTCTTTGCTGGTTAGTAGATATTCCCGTTGATACCAAAAGACTAAAGGATTAGTTTGTATCCATCTAAGATTGACCTAGTATTTTCCCATTCAGAAAAACTGGTGCTTTTGACCGTTGCCAGTTTCACCATCGTCTCGTCCCCCAGTGGCCCCGTGGCATTTGCCAGCCTTCGCAAGGGCCGTATTGCCTGGCTCAAGCAGCGCGGCGGGATAATGCTTCGAGAATCCACGGGATAAACCATCTGGATACACGGGATACAGATTTTTCATGGAAAATCATGGGGATTTCCTATGGGCATATGATATTTCACCAAATATCACCAACAGGAAATGATGGTGAACTAGCTTTTTGCATCTTTTTTGGAGCAGGATATGTGGGATTAGCCCCTTCATAACTGGAACTAAACTACTGACTGGGATGAACTACCATGTGGATTCTTTCTTCTTATGCTTACCCTACGGCAATCTAACAGAGCAATGGAAAATGGCATGTTTGTGTTTTTTTGGTAAGAAAAAGATCTCGACCAAGATGACAATATACAGTACAATAGCAAGACAAGAGTTAAGAACAAATGGGGTTTCCTAGATTGAGGCTACCCCCAAATCATCCAGCTATTAGATTGGGATTTTCCCTTACCATCCAGCTATTGGGTAACCACATTTATGAAACCTAAATCCCACACCTGAGGGACGGTTACCCACATGGATACAGCTGAGGTTTATCTGAGGTCAGAGAGATGTTGCAGGCTGAAATCTAGGATGGCTACTAGCCATCCGACAAGTGTATGATATGGGGAGTGTGTATATATGTTTGTATATGTATATACTTGTTTGTATATATATATATATGCTAAGATATATATATATATATAATTATAAATCCAAACATAAGAGGCACACACACACAACTACGTGTCGAGTGATTAGAGTGTGTATTGAATGGTATTTGGCTGGATTAGTATAACTCACCAATCCGGAGGAAGCTGGTTTAGTGATGACTCCCTTACTAACGCTCATTTTAATTGACATGGCAGTGACATCTTTAAACATTCACCAAAATATGATTTCGGAGACTAACCATAAGAATTGACCATCCAAAATTAGTTGGGTAGATGAATTGAATGGATGCATTGCATTTGAGGCGATCATTAATTGTTTCCTGGCATCCAGTCGGCACAGATTCTGCGGATGATCAAGCTGTTGGTTCTGGGGCACAAAAAGTTCATTGTTATTGAGATTCCTATAAGTTCATTGCTTATTGTCTAATTATACCCATAAATTGTCACTTATATTTGGGAATATTTGGGGATAATATTTGGGTATTCCGAAATATCAAATATCCTCCAACTCAAGTTTGATTCCACATCTGAATCGTCACCCCGCACATAGGGACATGCACCAACTGACTGCTCAAAAAAAGGTTCCTGTCGCATCCAAACACCCGAGAACGGTCAGCCTCAATCGGGAAACGCAAGCCTCTTTTGCTTCAATATCTGTTGGGGAACCTGTGAAACAAACTAAGCACAACCAGCAGAACTCACAAAGACATTGCATGATAAACGGCCACCGCTAGGCGCACCAAAGCTTTGAAGATTTGATGGCAAGGTCACCAGCTCCAGGCTTTGGTTGAAACCACGGCCAAAGCTCAAGCTTTGAAGACTCGATGGCAAGGTCACCCGCTCCAGGCTTTGGTTAAAGTCATCGCCAAAACTCAAGCTTTGAAGAAACGATGGCAAGGTCACCCGCTCCAGGCTTTGGTTGAAGCGATGGCTAAAACTCAGGCTCTGAAGGCCCGATGGCAAGGTCACCCGCTCAAGGCTTTGGTTGAAATCAATGCCAAAACTCAAGCTTTGAAGACTCGATGGCAAGGTCACCCGCTCAAGGCTTTGGTTGAACTGATCGCTAAAACTCAAGCTTTGAAGACTCAATGGCAAGGTCACCCGCTCCAGGCTTTGGTTGAAATTCCTGCCAAAACTCAAGCTTTGAAGACTCGATGGCAAGGTCACTCGCTCCAGGCTTTGGTTGAACCAACCGCCAAGACTCAGGCTCTGAAGACTCGATGGCAACGTCACTCGCTCCAGGCTTTGGTCGAAATTCCTGCCAAAACTCAAGCTTTGAAGACTCGATGGCAAGGTCACCCGCTCAAGGCTTTGGTCGAAATTCCTGCCAACGCTCAAGCTTTGAAGACTCGATGGCAAGGTCACCCGCTCAAGGCTTTGTCTGAAATTACGGCCAAAGCTCAAGCTTTGAAGACTCGATGGCAAGGTCACCCGCTCCAGGCTTTGGTTGAACTGATCGCCAAAACTCAAGCTTTGAAGACTTGATGGCAAGGTCACCCGCTCCAGGCTTGGGTTGAAATCCTCGCCAAAACTCAAGCTTTGAAGACTCGATGGCAAGGTCACCCGCTCCAGGCTTTGGTTGAACCAGGCGCCGAAACTCAGGCTCTGAAGACTCGATGGCAAGGTCACCCGCTCCAGGCTTTGGTTGAACCGGGCGCCGAAACTCAGGCTCTGAAGACTCGAGGGCAAGGTCACTCGCTCCAGGCTTTGGTTGAATCTATCTCCAAAACTCAAGCTTTGAAGACTCGATGGCAAGGTCACCCGCTCAAGGCTTTGGTTGAACCAAACGCCAAAACTCAAGCGTTGAAGACTTGATGGCAAGGTCACCCGCTCCAGGCTTTGGTTGAAATGAAAGCCAAAACTCAAGCTTTGAAGACTCGATGGCAAGGTCACCCGCTCAAGGCTTTGGTTGAAATGAATGCCAAAACTCAAGCTTTGAAGACTCGATGGCAAGGTCACCCGCTCAAGGCTTTGGTTGAACTGATCGCTAAAACTCAAGCTTTGAAGACTCAATGGCAAGGTCACCCGCTCCAGGCTTTGGTTGAAACAGTAGCCAAAACTCAAGCTTTGAAGACTCGATGGCAAGGTCACGCTCTCCAGGCTTTGGTTGAAACTCTTGCCAAAAGTCAGGCTTGCAAGGCTGCAGGGGAGATGGTGTAAATATTCTCCGTGCGTTGCTCCTTCAAGATGTGTAACACCTTCTAGCGCAAACTCTCTCTCACAATTTGGGAGCTCACAGGCATTACGCCATGCTGTATACACATCAGTTGGTATGTAAGTGCAGGAGAGCATTGCAGTTTTTCCAACAATCCCTTGGCCTCCCAAGGTTTCATTCAGCGTCAGCTTTCCATTCACATGATGCACCACGAGCTTTGCGCCTGGCTTGCCTGAAAGCTTCTTTGACACCAACCTGCGCAGGTCAGACCCAAGCATGGAGCGACTGACGCTCAGTCTCACTCCTTCTCCAGACAAGCACTGCACCTGAAGCTCGATCTCATCAGTTTCACCTGCTGCACCTTTGTCAGCAAATGATGGATCCACATAGCCATGCTGTGCACCGGACATTCTTCAAAATTTACACACACACAGACACCACTACGAGTTTAGCCGAAAGGTCCGCACCACTCAACTATAAAACCATATAGAACCGATATTTTTGGCCATTTCTAAGTGCCGCAAAACGCATTCCAATGCCATTTTTTAGGGTTTCATGTTAGTTTTCAGGGCCGCTGCGTGATGGGGTGCAATCCATTTCGGGCCTGCCTTAGTCACAGCAAATTGTAAAGGTTCATCGGCTCCAAGAATGAGGTACCCCATACTTCACTGGTTTCGAAAATCATTTATCCTATTGAAGCGGTCAAAAATGAGGTACAGTAGATACCTTCTTGTAAACGTTTACAGTTTGCTATTGAACATGACCATAGAAAATTCTTTGATTTACCCATGAAACATGGTGATTTTCCATAGATTCCATAGTTATGATAGCTTACCGGGTCATGTTTTGTGGCCGGCAAATCGACTGATGGCACGACCCCATCAGAAACAGAGATTTGTGCTCCACAACTAATTGCAGTGCTATATTAAAAATACACATACATTGTATGCAGCAAAAACATCATATATATATATATATATTCCAGTCCTATACATACACATATATATATATACATATGTGTATTTCATGATTTTGAGAATGAGACAGAACATAAAACCGGCCAAATCAGCTAAATCTCAATGTTCCATCACTTTCTCAGGTGAAAACAGCTGAGCAGCCTGTCAGAAAGCAAGTTGGAACATCACCAATAACTGGTAGTCACTTTTTAAAACACAAAACACCATTGTGTCTTCTTGGATTTGTTGAAGGAACCACCAACAAAACTAAAACATATTCTCCGTAGATTCCCCTTGGATTTTCAGAAAATGCCAAACATCATCAGCAAATCCAAGTCTTTTGACTACATCTGGGTACAACTTCCTGCACCTCCTTATGTTCCTCATGAGCTTCACGGAAATTCTTCAGCCATAGGCTTGCCTTTGTCATATTGGAAAAATGACAGGCTCTTTGATGCACTCCCATATCTCGAAAATGCATTGAACATGTGTGATTTAGCCCGAAAATTGGATGGTCATCAAAAATTGCAGCCCACGAGGTCTTTAACTTTTAGAAGTTTTTGACCAATCCCACCCAAAAACATTGTCTGAAACGAAGTTGCGGACATGGATATTCACCCCCCCGGTCATAGTATTCTCTCTAAACACCTCCAAACATATAAATTAAATGGGTGTATCTGAAACTGGGGCATACCTTCCAAACTTAAAATTTCAACAGTGCACTTGATTAAGCATTGCATGGAAATCTTCTTTTCCTCAATTTTCGAGATGAAAACCCTCAAATATGATCAACTCCACCCAAAAAATCAGCCTCAACAGCAGCCCAACATGTCGTAGGCGACCCAGTACTCCACCGAACATGTCGTCTTCGAAAGGGGCCGCATGCTTGGCAAAGAGGCCATCTGCGGAGATCGTCACGAACTTGCCTAGGCGCAGGTTCGTGAGTTGGGTGAAGGTTGAGGACCAAAACAAGACATGTCAAAAAGAGGGCTGAAAATATCAATGGGAATTTCAGGATCCTAAAATGGAGGTACTGTACCATATAAGGTCATATTTTGTGGGGATATTCCCTGAAATTAAGGCCTTACATAGGCCTTATATATGGTAGGTACCTCCAATTTAGGTTCCTGAAATGGCCATGGAAAGAACATGAGTTGAAAGGATCTTTGAACTCGAAAACGAAAACCAGTTATGTGAATGTTGGTTTATAACCCCATCTAAATTTGATGTTATTTGCGTATCATACACCAACTTGTTATTATAGTTATTTGCACCAACTTAGCGATTCCGAACTGGGGCCCCATCGTGCGTAACCACAATCCAAGCTGAGGTATCTCAAGATCCTGTGGTTGGATGGTCAACCTCTGAATAATAACAGCCCATACCGGGATAATATGGGATATATTCATGGGATAATTACTAATTGGGAATTCCACTGAATTCCAACTATAGTGGGATTGTAACTGGATAGAATGCGTAATCCCATCTCAGATCAAACATCCCCCATTCTATGGTCCCAAATAACGCGTTTTTATCCCCTACGCCCGCCTTGCCCTGTTCAATTGAAGGGGTTTGAGGGGTATGATGTTAGCAATCCATTGTGAGGGTTTATCTCCCCAGTCATCACCATAAATATAGAGGTGGTATGTTTACCATTCCCAGTCATGGGTGGTAAAAATGACATTGTTTTACCCACATCGTTTCTTGAAATCCTGGGGATGTTGGCAGTTCGTGGTCATCGTTCCAAATGGGATCCGGAACATGGTGGCTGTTGCAACTTCACCCGGGCCAACAAATGTCCGTCACTGGGACTCTTCTCTGATAAACGATTTCGGCAGAAAACCAAATACATGGTCAATCTTTGGTAATCCACAAAAATGACCGTTTTCGTACAGTTTCTTCACACACAGACGCTTTTACAGACAGACGCTTTTACACGCAGACGCTTGCACACGCAGACGCTTTTACACGCACACGCTTTTACACGCAGACGCTTGTACAACCGCAGACGCTTTTACACGCAGACGCTATTACACACAAACGCTCATACACACAGACACTTTTACACCAAAGACGCTTTTACACACAGATGGTTTTACACACAGACGCTTCTACACACGGAGGCTTTTACACACAGACGCTTTTACACACAGACGCTTTTACACACAGACGCTTTTACACGCAAACGCAAATAAACACACAGATGCTTTTACACACAGCACACAGAAGCTTTTACACAGAAGCTTTTACACACAATAGCTTTTACACACAGAAAGTTTCTACACACAACACACAGAAACTTTTTACACAGATTCGTTTACACACAGAAGAAATTGCAGTTTTACCTCAGTTTTGGGCGATCGAACCTCATTTCGTGCGAAAAGGTTGCGCCGGACAACTTGAAATCGCAATTTTACCTCAGTTTTTCGCGATCGAACCTCATTTCGTGCGAAAGCGTTGCGACGGGAACCCGGAAATCGCAATTTTACCTCAGTTTTTGACGATTGAGCCTCATTTCGTGCGAAAGGGTTTCGCCGGACAACTTGAAATCGCAATTTTACCTCAGTTTTTGGCGATCGAACCTCATTTCGTGCGAAACAGTTGCGCGGGACGACTTGCAAATCGCAATTTTACCTCAGTTTTTGGCGATCGAACCTCATTTCCTGCGAAAGGGTTGCGTTTCGTGCCATCTCGTTGGCACTGCCCCTGCCCCCCGCCTTCAAGAGAGAAATAGAAAAGAAGGAGAGGGCAAGAGGGCAAGAGGGCAAAGAGGACAAGATGTGAGGATGTGAGGATATGAAGATGAGAAGATGTGAGGATGAGAGGATGTGAAGATGAGCAGATGCGAAGATGAGCAGATGTGAAGATGAGCAGATGTGAAGATGAGCAGATGCGAAGATGAGAAGATGCGAAGATGAGCAGATGTGAAGATGTGAGGTTGTGAAGATGAGAGGGGAGGAACTCCATCAGCCTCGCCTCATGGGGCTTCAAAGTTGGAGCCACCAAAAAGGGGGGCTTGCTGCGCGACGGGTGGCACATCCTGTGAATCCAGTTGCTGGGGTGCTAAGCCATGGTTGTGCGGCTTTCGCAAGGTGCATCTACCTTCTGAGCGCAGGCAATCCTCTCGGACTCCACATGCCAAACGCTGCTCTCTAGAGGCGGAGCGTTGGTGAGTGCTGGTCTCGCTCCGAGCTTGCGCCTCTCGTTCATAAAGGATCACGAACCCCAGCACTGACTGCATCATGCTGTCTTCAAAGTGTGCTGGCTGTTCTTGCTCTGGCCGTGGGAAATCATCCCAGCTAGGTTCTCCAAAAGCGAGACGTTCATCTGTGTTCCTCATCCTCCACCACGACATAGACAAGTCTGCTTCAGACTCGTTTCCAGCTGTAGACGAAACCTCCCACCTCCCTTCACTCGGCTGTGCACACCTTCATCTCCCTCGTCGCTGGCCTAATCATTGTTGGACTCATAGTGGGGTTCCAGCCTGCGAGGAGGAGCGGCAGGTCCTCCAGAAGCCGCATAAGGCTGCGGCACTCGATGTTGGTGCCTGGTGGTTGGAAGGGGCCTGTACCCTGCAGAGCAGGTGTGGTAGTGGGAGAAACTCCCTGCTTGGGGGGTGGCCCTGTTGGGTGAGGAAGGGGCCTTTCTTGGCTTGGTTGTGGGCTTTGGTTGTGGAGGAACTCCGCTGCCGCTGAGCTCTGCCGTAGAACTAAGTGTTCCGGGCTTCTGTGGAGTGCTGAGCCAAGCCGGGCCAATCCAAGAGCTAATGTCATAATGAAACACCGAATACCCTAAATATGGGCGAACCCCCCTTTGGAGTGATGATCACCTTCTGGCTCTGAGCTTGTGTCAGACCCGGGGGACCCCCGCCCAAAGTTTAAAGAGGGGGCGGTAGTTGAGGTAGCCTCTCTTGGGGGACCTTCATCGCCGATTGTTCCCCTTCAAAGCCCCACCAACTCCAGGATGCCTCAGGTATAGCAACGTTCCCCAAGCTTGCAGCAAAGATCACTGTGATTGCCCATGGGGCGGAAGCCATTGTGACACACGTGTGGTCTATTACCAAGCTGCGTGAATACTGCTTTGACTTGAACCAAGGCAGCACCCACAAAAGTTAACCCTACATTCTTCGAACCAACGATTAAACTCCATTTAAAGCAAAAAAGCAAAGGATTAAACATGATTAAAGTACCTATCCAGGTTGCCAAGGTTGGGGATGTATTTTGTGATCACCAACGCTCCAAGTCACCATGCTTCGTCGCATGAAAGCCCACCGGCGGCGGCGCCGTCGCCGTTGCGGCGCTCGCTGCGCTGCTCTTCGGTTGGCGGCTGGGCGTGCGGCGTTCGCGCGAGGAGCGAGGAGTGGCGAGAACGGCCTGCGGTGAAGTGGCGACATGGCGAAGTCATGGGGGAATTTGATGGATGAAATACCCTCCGCGCTATTGGAAATGGTGATTTACAGTTGATTTACCTATTATAAATGGTCATTTAACTAACATAACTATGGCAAATCACAATTTTTAATGTATAAATCAACTATTTCTATGGCCATTTTCAATAGCAAACTCTTAGTTTACCGGGTAGCCAACAACATGGCGATACCAGGCAATTCGCCAATGGGCCATTTTCAATGGCTAGGTCAAATTACCTAAATTGGAAAGGGTAATCATCGGATCGTTGCATCAAAAAAACCTGGAAAGTTGCATCGGGAAGGCACTTTTCAATCGGTGCACGTGGAAAAGGAAGATATTCAAATGGATGTGGGTCAAAATGGAAGACCTAGGAGCCCAGGGGACCACAGATGTGAATTAGTCTAGTTTAGTATTAACCATCCAATAACATAGGGGTACCGAATTTTGACCCATACCCAAATGTTTCCAAGATTTTCCAAATCTCCAAGAAAATTTCGGACAATTACCAGTCGACAGGAACATTGCATCAGGAATGGGAATAGCAGCAACTCTGCCTGACTTTGGCCATATTATCCATATTTCTTGGTTCAGTCCTCGCGAATTCCATGACTTGTTGGATACCCTCTGGTCATTTCACATAGCCATGGAGAATTCCCCCAGTATTTCCAATTTGTAGATCATTTACCTAGCAAACATGGCAATGTTTATCCATTTTCCATGGCTATGTGAAGTAACCAGAGGGTAACTATCCATAAAGTTGTTGGATTTTGCTAACCCCTTCCCTATCGCACCTCTGCTGCACCCTTCGAAACTGCGGTAGCTGCAGCCTTCTGGGCGGCACCTCAACTTATCGATCTATGCAGTGGTTGAAACCAGGGTTTGATCGTCCAATATACCGAACTGGGCCTCCTAGGGAAGTGATGTTGGCCTAAACAACCTCAAACACCTTGTATTTACAGTGCTTTACACGAAGTACAAGGGGGTTTCCTGCAAAAAAACATTTGAAACAGATCCGGGATTATTGATCCAATGTTCAACTAAGGTCAGATGGGAATTTCATCAAAGCTCGATTTGGCCACGACATGATTACGAACTTTTCACCAATAACATATGAGATATCACTGATATGACCAACAAATGCAGGGGGGTCCGGACAAAACGAATGATTTCCAGGTGTTGTTTCCTCATCTTGAGAGATTTTTATCTGCCACCCATCAAGATCATGAAATCAATGGGAGATCTTCAGGAACCTAAAATGGAGGTACCTACCATATATAAGGCCTATGTAAGGTAATATCCCCACAACATATGGCCTTATATGGTACAGCACCTCCATTTTAGGATCCTGGAATTCCCATTGATGAAAGGTGATGTTCGAACCGGGCACCCATGTGCTAGAGGATGCTGCCCATATGGATTCCCCTCACACGGAGATGCGATGCTTCAATTGTATGTTCACCAGGGTGAAATAGGTGAGATTAGAAAACATGAACGGGGACAATTGACTCTTGAACAAAATTAGATACCATCAGAATCGGCCTGAGCTGTCTCGCTTTGACAAAGTGAAAGAAAACATCCAAACCAGGTACAGTAACTGACACCTAAATTGGATGTCTTCCTCAAAACTAATCAACATGACATTGACAGTCGATATCAATTCGGATCAATCGTGGAACCAACAAAAACAGCAACCAATACAGCGCATCTGGTCCTATAAATAGACGGCGTAAATCATGTGATGGATTTGCATCGCCCACAATTTTGGGCCTCATTTTGATCATTTTGCAGCTTCAATTAATAACGGCAGTACTGGTAACAAATGAATGGATCATCTCTTGTGCAATCCATTTCAACAGCATTCTCCAAACTGGTCAACCTACGGGCTCTAGTCCAGCAGCTTTTTGTATGTGCTAGGGTCAAAACTTGAAACAAAACATGGTCCAGGAGTATATGGATTGCTGTGAACGGCGCAATACTTGGTGTCGAAAGATAGCCTTCATCCTGGATTGTACAAACTGCTTGTATCGCTGGATTTTGATGACCTCCCATTCTCGCAGCGATCATTCCACCTCTTGGTTTCAAATATTGACATGTCCTCCGCACAGGCCGTTTTATTCATTACTTCTTGGTTCCTTCATTTTTTCTGCCAGTGAACCTTCAACTGTTTGCAGCTTCAACCAGCCTCTTCTACTTGAAAGACGGATCATTCACTAGGAACCAATAGCGTCCTTTTGGAAAAATCGGGCATACCCCATTTTCAGATATATCCATATCATAGTCAGACTCATGCATACGAGTAGATCATCATACCAGCATATTCGATCATATTCTGGTTGTCCACACCGATTTTTGCTGCTCAATCCTCGATAATTTGTATGGGATCGTCCTTACACTGCTGTATAACCGCCAATTTGGTGTTATTTTCTATGATGACACTTATCATTATATGATTCGATAATTATCATTATGATTATATCATTAGATAGTTATTATGATTAATTATTTGCTAGCTATTGTTACTTCTTGATTATTCTTCTCATCTATTGATGTTTCTTATCGTTTGTTATTTCTTTTGCTTATCATTATTGACTATCTATCAAAATAAGTTATAACTTCTCTCGGAGAAACCTCGTTGAAGCCATCCCATCCTGCCATGCCTGCAGCCTTTGCGCCCTTCACGGGCTTCCGCTTAAGCCCTGCAGATTTCAACAGGGCAAACGTTGAATCCCTTGCAGATTCAATATTTGTCATGGAGAAAATCAGCACCATGGATGCCATGGCGACAATAAACATGTGCCCTTTCATGTGCTCATGTGCTCCGAAACTGGTCCATTTTTGAGCCACCATAGATCATAGCACCAACTTTTGGTGAATCTACTGCTGAAATCATCATCTAGGTATGGCTCAAAATTATGAAACCACAGCGATCGTGTCTTTCTCAATTTGGGTGCTTCCATTTCATAAGCTAGATCATATTTCATTCCAATCCCTATTTACACCGCTTAATACATATCTTATCTCCAAAACTATTGGCTGGTTGATCATCTTTCTATTTTTTGCTTGGGCAATAATGCCCATTAAACCCGTCTAGCTGATACTGTCGATGGAACTGAAGATGTGTCTGACGAGAGCAATTGACCCATTTGACAATAGGGCACCTAGATGGGGGAGAAATGGGTGATACACATTAAATATTACATATTTGATTTCAGAAGTTTGAAACATTCGTGTTTCTCTGAAAGCTCAACTCAGCAGGTTTTGGGCTTATATCACTTATATCCCGATATACTTGGTGTAACTTCTCATACGAGTACATTTAATCCCAATAAGTGTCATTAACTTTAAACTGGTGAGTGTCCCAATTACCCTCCAGTAAATGAACAGCTCGACCCTGGCAGTCATGGGGGTTGGAAGATGAGTTTCCATTAGAAACGGCTTATTTTCAGGGTCAACATGTTAACCATATATTAACCATATATTTAACCATATATTAACCATATATTAACCATATATTAACCA